AGAGAGGCCTCTCAGGCTTCTTGGCCACAGTTGGCCCAGATATCAATACCTGAGCTCAAGGGCAGCCTTTCAACGGGCACATGCCGTGACCTTGGGTTGTCACTCATCTGGGAACTCTGGTTGGTGGGACATTCTCTTGGCCCCGAGCAGCAGCTGGATTATTTGAAGTCACATCTGTGCACAGGAGTGTGTGGGTGGGATCCACAGCTTGAAGATATGTATTGTTTTGGGAAGGACGCCTCTGGGGGTGGTGAGTGGGAGTGGTGAGTGATCATAATAATTTACAAGATCATACAGGGGCCGAGAGCTGCTGAAGGACCAATCGGCACCACACCCCCATCTCCTGAGGAGAAGCACTACCCAGATGTGTTGACTGACAACCCCGCATCACATACCCTTTAGCTGGAGCCGGGGCTGTGACTTTACGCTCCTCAACCGCGTCTCCTTTTGTTTCTTAGTTCACAAATCCCTAGAACCCCCTATCCCATGTGTTCCTTGTAGCAACCCTGTGTTTTGTGAGGCTCAGAGAAGTAGTGTATCTTGAATAAGGTCACACAGCCACAAGTGACAGAAGAGTCCCTTTGACCACGAACTGTCGGATGCTTTCTTTTGCTTGTGCTATTATAAATAGCAGTAGCTCTCACTTCCTTTGTCCCCGATTTCCCACTGTCCTCTGCTCTTCCCTGGGGTAGGCCCCTCCTCACCACCCTGTGGAATCCCAAGTCCTTTGTAGCAGTCCATCTGTTGCCATGGCACCAGATTATGATGTCGCAGACCCTGGATGACTGTGTATCACTCCTGCAGTGTGGAGTACAGGGACTCACAGAGGTGGGCATTGTCCAAGGGGCAGACTGGCACAGAGGGACATAAATCCCTGGAAACAGGGAACCACAGCCTGGAGCCCAGCTGGGGAATTGCCCTGGGAACCAAAGCCAAGGCCAGGAGAGTAGGGTCTGGCATGGCCTGCAGTGATGGCCCTGACTGACTGCTTGGCCTCTTCTGTGGCAGAGCTGAGCTAGCCTGGCTACATTGGAGGGACCCGAGGATGCTGAGCTCATTCACTGAGCTCTTTTGCCTTTTGTCCTGGGGCAGTGCTACACAAGATAGCCACCTCCCTACTGACTTCGAGACAGACGGGACTTACTCTCAGTCACCTAGTGAAGAGGTGGCCATGCCAGGATTCATCTTAGACTCCCGTGCCAGATCCTTCTATGTGATCTCAGAGGTCCAACAGAGAGCCTTCAAAGTGGTTTAGTCTAGTCTCAAACCTGAAAGTTATCATGCTGTCTCAGTTTCTCCAGGGTATACTACTCAAGCACAGATCACCATAGGCCGGGTTTCTGCTATATACTTTTGGGCACACAGAAAGGGTATACCTTTGGGCAAGAACCTCTGTGCTTGGCGGTCCTTGCAACAAGGTCCCCGAGGTTTGGGGGGCATCTGTCTCAGGAGTCTTTACTGCCAATACCCTGGTGGCTGCAAGCCTTAGTGGAAAGGGATTTACTTACCTCTGGCAGCTGCCACACGGACCCCTGAAGTCCTTCTTCTGCCCCTACCCACTCACCTCTTTAGAGCCTCAGTTTCCTCGGTAAAGGGGATTAACAGCAGCTACCAGGATAGCTGTGAGTGTTCCTGGGACTTGGGGTGAAAGGTACAAGGTTAGATCTGGGTGGAAAGGATCAAACTGGCCGAGACACTGAAACAGTCTGTTCCTCAGTCTGCCATGGGCCAGCCATCTCTGAAGCTGTCATTTCTAACATTTAGCTTCCAGGCCCAGTGTCTGCCATGGCTTGGCATACAGGGAGAGACCAAGCTCTCGCCTACACTCCCAGAATGCCCTGGAAGAAAGGGTCCTGGGATGGTATCTGGCTGGCCTATGCCTAGTAACAGAGTCCCTGCATTACCTTACACAAGCTGTCTCGTCATTGGTAGGCCTGCTCCCTTGTTTGAGCTCTTAGGACAGGATGCCCTGCTCTCTGCATCCCAGGGGAGAGGTTTATCGGATACTGGGGCTTTCACTGGCTCCTTAACTTATGTGGGGACTTTTCTGACACATGTGCCACTGTTTGGGGATTGTGCTGGTTGGAAGAGCAGGCCTTTTTTAACTTGACAGGTTCAGATCTTCTCTCACTTAACGTGACCTTGGGAACATACCTTAACAGCTTTGCCTGGGACTCTGCCTGTGTTAAGTGAGGAAATATCAGGCTGTTTGTCCTAGGGTTTCCTGAGTAAAACATCCAGCAGAGACAGAGAACTGAAAAAATAAAAAAGAGGCATCTGCTGGGCGGTGGTGGTGCACGCCTTTAATCCCAGCACTCGGGAGGCAGAGCCAGGCGGATCTCTGTGAGTTCGAGGCCAGCCTGGTCTCCAAAGCGAGTTCCAGGAAAGGCGCAAAGCTACACAGAGAAACCCTGTCTCGAAAAACCAAAAAAAAAAAAAAACCAAAAAAAAGAAAGAAAGAGAAAGAAAGAAAGAAAGAAAGAAAGAAAGAAAGAAAGAAAGAAAGAAAGAAAGAAAGAAGGAAGGAAGGAAGGAAGGAAAGAGAAAGAAAGAAAGAAAAACAGAAAGAAAGAAAAACAGAAAGAAAGAAAGAAAGAAAGAAAGAAAGAAAGAACGAAAAGGAGGTATCTATCTTAGGAAGACATGAAGAAAACTCCTCAGAAGACAGATGCACTCACTCTAAGGATGCCATGGAAAAGGAAAGCAGACATGGAGTGGAGTCAAAGAAACCAGTCAGTTCCCCCGAAACCCTGCTAGGCAGCTGGAGGACCACAAGATGGGAAAACCAAAACCAAACCAAACAAACAAACCCTTAGGCCATGGACTGTGTAAGAGCAGAGAGGCCAGGAATGGGCTTGCTGTCCTCCTGGGGTCTGCCCTGAGTTGGGTCCTGTGTGGAATCTGACATGATACCTGTTGTGGAGGGACAGGAGAAAAGCCAGCCACACCAGACTACAGACTCAGTGATGACAGAGAGCAGAAGGCATCAGATTTAAGGGCATAGGCCAAACAGCCTGTTGCTGCTCTTTGAAAACAAACTTGTACAGAAACACAGCCCTGTTCACCCACCTGCTTTCTGTCTGTCCACAATAGCAAAACTACAGTGCGAAACAGAGCCTGTGCAGCCTAGAGCCCCAAATATCTACCATCTGTACCAAGTTTACCAGGCTACAGACGATCATTTAGAGGATTAGGCAACTCAGAGGAGGTCCCTGACAAAGACTGGAGGTAATGGGAAGGCTTCTTGGAGAAAGAAACATCCAGGCTTATAATGGAAAAGCAGTGTTTAGAGAGAGGGTTTTCAGACGACGGCCTGAACAGTGATGATATTAACAGTACCTAAGGACCAGTAGTAATCAGGGTGGGGCCAACTGGGAAGTTGGAGAGGGAAGAAAAAGGAGGGAAACTTGTCAGCCCCTAGAGAGGGGCAGTATCCAGATGGCCCTAACATCACATTTAGTCCTACCGTCATTCAGGCAGAGGACTCCCAGGGCCCAGGCTCCCTAAGGACACTATCCCTGCCAGTTCTAAGACCTCTTGACCTGTGAGACTACCTACTATGCCCAAAAGATTGTGTCTTGGGAGCTGGCAAGATGGCTCAGCAGCTAAGAGCACTGGCTGCTCTTCCAGAGGACTCAGGTTCAATTCCCAGCACCCACATGACAGCTCACAACTGTCCGTAACTCCAGTTCCAGGGGATCCGACACCCTCACACAGACATACATGCAGGCAAAACACCTGTGCACATAAAGTAAAATTAAAATAAAAAAAGATTGTGTCTTATCAAATCCCTTTCCCTTTCCCTACAAAGAAACCAAAGGCAGAGAAGGGAAAGTCTCTCCCTTGAGAGTACACGGCAAAGCGCAACAACCAAGACACAAATTCAGCCCGCTGGCTCCCTGTGACATCACTCCTGAACCCTCAATCCCTGCCTGGGTAGGGCTCATGGAAGCTGAATGCAGGTGATGTTGAGAAGTCCCTGACTCTTTGAGGCCCTGGAGTACATGGAGGGTGCCGGGAGCCAAAGGCCCAGTCCTCACACCTCTCCTCCACACTTTCCAGGGTGGGCAGGCAGCCAGGCTCATCTGCAGGTTCCCTGTTGGGACAGCTGCCTTGTTCTGCCCTTGTCTGAAGATATGGTCAGTGCCAAGCACCAGGACAGCACAGAAATAATAATAGAGCAACCTTGGGACATGGCCTTCTTTTCTACTCTGACCCCTAAACTCCAGTTTCTCTCAGAACTAGGCACACAGGGCAGCAAAATAGTTTGGGGCTGGATCTGGTATTCATATTCTTGCTCCCACTCGGCCATGAGCCATGAGATCTCAGCTTGTAAGGGCACATAGCACCCCATTTCTTTCCCTTCTAATCACTATCCAGACAAACAGCAGTAGCCATACTGACAGCAAGCACCCGCCATGTGCAGGGCCCGATGGCATGTCCTCAGACATTAACTTCTTGCTCATCTTCAGCCCTTTGTGTTCTCCTAGTCGATAGTCAAGAGGAGGGAATTCAGATGTTCATAATGTCCTCAAATTCACACCAGTGGCAGAAGGCCCAGCGTGTTCCAAAACCCTGACGAAGGATGGGAGTCTTCCTGCAGAGCTCTAGGACAGGGGCCCTTGTGGGTGTCTTGACCAATGAGTGCTCCATCTTGGCTACAATTTCCTTGTCCGCTGTCACAAAACCATTGCCTACTTCTAGGGTTCATGATCACAAGCTCCCAGGTGCTTTTCCAAGGGGCCTGGTTGTGTGGTGGGATAGGCAGGTGAAGAGACTGAGAACTGCCTGAATGGAGGAGTTGAGAAGTGGTGTGGTGGGAAGTGGTGGTTGCCAGCCTTGCTGGACTTGAGCTCCCTACTTACAGACCCTGTAGGAGGTTTGGGGGTACACTTTTTAGGGTGAGCACAAGCCAGCTACCTGTTTGCCGCCTGACTCTGTCTTAGAAAAGCATTCTGTGCTCAACAGATTCTTAGCTCTTTCTTCTCTTTGTCCCACAGCCAAGAGGACCTGTGCAGACAGTGACTTTACCTGTGATAATGGCCACTGCATCCCAGAGCGCTGGAAGTGTGATGGCGAGGAGGAGTGTCCTGACGGATCTGATGAATCCAAGGCCACTTGTTGTGAGTCTTGCCCTGGACCTCAGTTTCCTCATCAGCATTTCCTTGTCAGGTTCATGTGAGACAGTCAGAGGATGCTCGGTGCCAGGCCCTCTGGGGAGGGGGAGGCTCCTGGTAAGCAGTCGAGTGTTTAGGTGCTTAGTATCTCGGCTCCCCTGTAGGTCTGACTCTGTTCCTGTAGCACCAGGAGCTAGAATCAGCCCCCAAATACTGCTCAGAAGTGGCCATGGCTCATCTACCAGGCCCGCTGCTTTCGTTCTCCGGGATCTTAATTGTCATTCCAGCGGCAGTAACGGCAGCTGGTGCTTGTTAATCATTTACTGGGGCCACACCTCGCTAAGCTCTTTGTATAATACAGCCATCCTTTCATCTTGAGAGCAGCCTCTAGAGGCAGGTTACTACTTCCTGAATTGTCAAAAGGGGCACACAGAAACTCAGAGTTGGAGTGGTTTGTCCATGGCCACCCAGCCAGGACTTTGAGGGCCCAGCTCTCTCCTCTGTCTTGGGTGAGCTGAGTACAGGAGGCTTGTTCTTCATGGCAAGCTGGATGCTGACAGAAGGAACCAGGGCTGAGGCGGCAGAGCTGGTGCTCCAGGACTGCCTTCCACACCCAGAGCCTTGTCTCTCCATGATTTCTTCTCTAGACTGTAATCCTCAAAGCAAACTTAGACCTGGCAGGTCATTCTGTGACATTTGTTAAATTAAAAAGGAGATGGGGAGGGGAGGGGGGGGCCCAGCGGTCCAGAGGCATCAGCAGCGCGAGCCTGAGACAAAAGACTGGGGGAAGCACGTGGAGAATGGTGGGGCTCAAGGGGGGATCCAGAAGCCCCTCTCTGGGGCTAACATTTGCCCCAGAGGTAAAGGCAGGGACAATAGAGGCCAGAGTCCCATCTAAGGCTGCCGCTGATGATAACTGGGTTTCCTTGTCTCCTAGCAACAGAGCTACCAGTTTCTAAGAGAGAAAGAGAAAAGGAGAGCAAGAGATACCCCCACCCCAGACAAAGGGCCCCTCATTTCCTAGGCAGCTGCCAAGCCCTCCCCGGTTCTACTGCAGGCCCCATCCTTTCCTTACCACACCAAATGCCACTCCATGCTGTCCTGGAGGCGTGTAGGCAGAGGGAAGCCCGGGGCTTTCTCCGGCCCTTCCAAAAGAACAAAGCCCCGCCACACTTGCCTGTGACTGGCATCCTCATGCCAGCCTAGAGGGTGGTGGATCCCTAATAGAGAAAGAAACTGAAACTGGACCAGGTTTGGCCAGTTGACCATGGCTGCTCAGCTGAGAAGGGACAGAGTTGTAGCACGAATGTTAGATGGTCTTTTATAGATGTAACATGAATTCTAAAATGGTCTTTTAATTAAAACAAACAAAAACAAAACAAAACAAAACAAAAACCGGAGTCAGATGTCGGGGTAAATGCTGAAAGATCAGAGAGACAAAGGAACAAGCCACTGCCACATCTTACCTCCTCAGCTTGTAAAGGTTCAGTTCCTGTCTCCTCATGCCTTATATACCTTTCTCCGCCCAGCCATTAAAAGTGTGTGTGCTTCCCAAATACTGGGATAAAAGGTATGAGATCTCAAGTGCTGGGATTAAAGGTGTGTGACTTCAAGTACTCTCCCATCCTGCCTATTTCCCTGTCTTTCTTCCTCAAAATGCCAGTGCTTGCTGCCTTCCTACCTCATGGTCTGTGCTGGGCCCACATTCCCCACTCCTCCTGACTCCAAGGTCCCCTTCTATTTATCAGCTGAGCAGCTAGAGGCCTCAAGAACTTGGTAGACCTGCCTCACAGACATACAGCCTGTTTGTGGCAAGTGCCTCTCCTGTGACAAAAGACAGGCTTCTCAGGCTTTCTGATTCATGGGAGCAGCAGCCAAGGAAGCACCTGGGATTGAAGAGGCCCAACTCCATGTGGATTAGCCCAGGCAATTGCTGTGAGGGCCTTTTTCCACTGCTCCTCCAAATATGAGTCCCAACCTAGAACCCCATAGATTTCCTCATTTTAAGACTCCTAAATTCTTAGTAGTCCAGGGCCCACTTTCTGCACTTGTCCAGTGGGGTGCAAAGTCTGGGGCCCTACTTCCTGAATCTTTGCATTGGTCAGAGCACTGGTCACAGGGTATGTGACTAGGGAGGGCTGCCTGGAAGAATCAGCCAGAGAGGACCTTGAAGGCCAGGCAGAATTGGGGGCAGCAGGACTGGTAGCAGTCTTGCTCACAGCTTCCCAACTGAATGAAAACCCAGCAGCCAACCCGCTGTCCATTTAATTGGTGTTGCCATAGCAACCTCCATAGCCTACCAGGTTTCTGGGACTGTGCCAGCTCCCAGGATAGAGCCTTACTCCTCACCCCAACAGAAAGATTACAGATAGAAGAGTATAGTTGGCTTGGGATCTGATTCAGTCGGGTCAGGTCCTTTGCCTTGAAACCTCAGGTAAGTTGCCTAGTCTTCCTGAGCCTTGTTTCTCTTTGTGTAAAGTGGCATGGCGCATTTGCCTTCTAATGGGTGTGCGACTCCACTGAGACAACACAAGTATTGGAGTAAGTGTCCGTGTTGTTTATTATTGTTCTTGGACCTCAAATCTCTGCCCCAATATTACAGTTTATTAGGCTATCAGGACACCAGAGTCATACTATTGAAATAATATGGGGGAGGGGGTGTGTGTGAGAAGCACAGGGACCTGCGATAGGTACTCATCAAATACAGCCAGAGTCACAACGGGAAAGCCCAGAACATTGGCCTAATGAAAGTATCATTTGGGTTCTAATTATAGCTCACTTGATTGACCCACCTTCAGGCATCTGCTGGGAGGGGTGCAGGCGGGCGGGCAGGGAGAGGAGAGGGTGGTTCAAGGGGAGTGAGCTACAGATCTGGGTGCTCCTCACTGCATGTGGATTTTTTTCCCCTTGCATCTTGGCAGCTAGACGGGGCTCTCACTGCTCACTTCTGCTCACCTGCTTCTTATAGATCAGGAAGTACAGGCCTGGAGATCTGAGGTCGCCCATTCTGCCTGATGCTGTGTGAAGGAGCCTACTGTAACTCTGCTCCTTCAGGATGACAGGGTGCAAAGGTGTGCTTCCTATGACAGGGCCCAGCCAGGTGACACTGGTGGCTGCCCAAGTCTCAAGTTCTCTTGGAGCAGGCAATCCCCATTTCTCTCTAAAACTGAAGTCTCTAAAACTGCAAACCAGTGAGCAGCCACCAGGTACTATCAACAGACATTTTCCTTGTTTCTTTCTTTATTAAACCTCTGAGTCGGCAGAAGTACCTGTAGATTTGGGTTTCTGGGACAGGATTCTCAGGAAATTAATAAATGCCTTCAGTCCCTTCAGGGTGGAGCTTCAAGCCCCTCACTAGTGTTGTCTGACTGTGAAGATTCGTGCTTCTGTCTGGAACACTTGGACAGCAAGCCAAAGGTGTCCCTTGGGAGCATGTGTTCCAGAAGGAGAGACTGTGCTGAGATGGGGACCATGTCATAATGAGACATATGAGCTTCCATGCATTCCCCGGGGGTGAGACCAGCCTCCCCACCAGACGTTTACATTGTCATTGCATGGGATAGGACAAGAGCAACTGTTTCCTGAGCTCAGTGTGTTCCAGGCTTTTGAGTACAGGGATTCCCACACTGCCTCATGCAAACCACTTACCCACCCCATTTTCAGCAGAGGAGACCCAGGGAGCATAGAAGATAAATGTCTTGCCTAAGGAACTTAGTGTTAGTAAATGAGATTTGGACCTAGGTCTATTGACTCTGAAACCCGGGCTCCTTCACCTATATCCACTTGTCTGCAGGTCTTGGCTTCAAGGATCCTGACCACAGACATCAGATAGCCAAGTTGTTCAGCCTACCTGAGCCAAAGCTAGCCGAGACCTCACTGACCTCTCCAGCCATGCTGGGGAAAGCAGCAGTCTCCTCCCGTGCAGTGGTGTATAACACGGACCTGGGGTGGAAGTCCAGCTCAGCTGCCTCCATAAGACTCACAGCCAGCAACTTACACTCTCTAGGCTTTCCTCTCTGCCTGGGAGATGGCCATCAGCACTTCCTGCCGTACTCAGTGGAGAGGCCCAACCTGGAGCCTGGAGTCCCAGCTTTGGGGACGAGCTATACCACAAGAGAGGCACAGGCGGTGAGGGTGCAGGAGAGACAGGCATTTGACACACCTACCTCTCTCTGGACCCTGGAATACCACTCCAAGGAATGCTTGTCAACTTGATCTCCTTGGCCTCCTGGCATTCTGGGAGCCTTGACTCTTTAGGGGTGAAGGGACTGGTCGTAGGCACTGCTGGGTCCTTGAGAGCCTGTAATTAGAACTGCCTATTTAGGGACACAGCAAATGCCTTATTAATTATAAAGAAAGGAAGCAGACAGATTGTTTAATCATTGTCCTTGTTGAAAGGTTATGCTGTTAACTGTATAAATATTCATTAAAAGTTCAATCGGCTGCCTGCCGCACTGGGGGGTGCAGGACCAGGCCTCCGGAGGTGGTACATCTGGCCAAAGGCTGTTTTAGTCACCTAGGCTTTAGGGAAGAGAGTTTGGGGCTGGCTCTCAGCCATGCAAAGGTTTGATGGAAAGACAGGGCTTTTGTCAGAGGAACCCAGACTCTGTCTTCGATGTGCTGTGCATGTTTGGGTGAGTTACTTGATGTCTCTGAACCTTAGGACTGCTGCCCTACTCAGTCTAGGAAACATTACTGCCACAGTCCCTTTGAGAATGGTGCTCCTGGAATCTGACTCACAGCCTTCTTGCTTGTCAGGGTTAGGGTAAGGGTGATGATGAGCATCTTAGTTGGTTCTGGCTAAATGCTATGAACTGGACTGGGTAAATTGTAAATAACAGAAATCTAGTGCATACAGTCCTGTTACACACAGAGCACCAACAGACTGGAGTCCAGTGAGGTCCATTCCTCACAGATGCTGCCTTCCCACTCAGACCTTCATGACAGAGAGGGCATGGAGTCTACCTCGAGCACTTGTATTATATACAATTTTCATTGTGTATGTTCATGTACATGGTTCTACAAGGACATTTTCACACAAGTACATACCGTGTTAAGCATATTCTTCCCTCTCCCGTTAGCTCCTTTGTTCCTCTAGATAATTTTGCTTCTATTTTAATGTCGTATACACACACTTAATGTTATATATTCAAATAAAACTAGAACCACAAATTAGGGAAGGCATGCAATATTTGTCTTTCTGAGTCTAGCTTAATTTGTTTAATATGATTATCTCCAATTGCATTCACTTTCCTGCAAATGACATAACTTTGTTCTTCGTGGCTGACAACAATCCCATTGTGTATACATACTACGTTTTGTTTGTATCCATTCTCCAGCTTCTTATGTAAGAGGGCGTCAACCGCACTGGTGAGGGCGTTGCTCTTATGACTTAACTGTCCCTAAAGGTGAAGTGGAATGGGGACCAGCTCTTCAGCCTGGAGCAGTCTGACCCACTCAGGTGCTTGTGGCCCTTTCAACTTCCCCGTGAGGCTTAGTTCTCGGAGTCCGGGTCAGTGCTTAGTGTTTGCCTTGCCTTTCCACCCCACTGCTCTCTCAGGGGCTTACAAACATTTGAACACCTGGATCACTTTTAGGGTGCCATGGTATTACAAAGAGATGAGGTGTACTATATCTTTTCAATATGCAGATTGTTAACTCAGGGGGTTCTCACACAGGGATACCTGGAACTGCTTGGGTTGAGAGGAGTTACTAAAATGCAGGTTCCAGGGCCTGGAGCAGTGGCTCAACCATTAAGAATGCTTTCTGCTTTCCCAGAGGGCCTGAGTTTGGGTCCCAGCACCCAGGGATCCGATGTCCTCTTTTCCTCCTCCACACACGTAGCGGACACACATTCACATGAAGACAAATATAAAACATTTTAAAACTGCAAATTCCTTGGCTTTCAACATCTAGATTCAGTCACTATGGCCTGGGGCCCAGGGACTTGAACTTCTAAGACCTCCCTTAGCACTGCCTCTTGGTTAGAGAACTTTCTGGGAGTCAGCTGGTCAGCTCCAGCTGCCTCATGTTCTGAAGTACCAAGAAGTGCTCAAGGTTCTCCAGTGCTGGTGGCAAAAGTTATCTTCAGATGCCTGTCCCCCTCCACCACCCCACATGACAGCCCAAAGTGGCCTTTTTTTTTTTTTCCGGAGCGGGGGGAGCAGTGTTTGGAGATAGGGTTTTTCTCTGTGAAACAGCCCTGGCAGTGCTGGAACTCGCTCTGTAGACCAGGCTGATCTCAAACTCAGAGATCCACCTGCCTCTACCTCCCGAGTGCTGGGATTAAAGGTGTGCGCCACCACCTCCTGGCAAAAGTGGTCATTTCATTTATGTATGTATTTATGTATTTTTTTTTTTTTAGGTATGAGTGCTCTGTATGTATGCCTGCATGCCAGAAGAGGGCATCAGATCCCATTATAGATGGTGTGAGCCACCAGGTGGGTGCTGGGAATTGAACTCGGGACCTCTGGGAGAGCAGCCAGTGCTTTTAACCACTGAGCCATCTCTCCAGCACCCAAAAGTGGCCATTTTAAAAGCTCACTGAATGGCAGTGCTTTCCAGAGCCCTACCTGACAGTTAGTTGGTGTAGCGTGAACTCTATGAATTCTCTGATTCAGGACAGTGTTCCATGCCAGGTGTCCCAAACCTGCCCGCATTTGGGATCCACATGGGGACTGAAGGTACTCATCCCCAGTGCATAGCATGTGTCATCGGGGACCTTGGTTTAGACACCTGCCCCAGGCCACGTTTCTGTGCCTTTCCTTGTCTCAGCCCACTTTTATTCATCTCTGTGGCCTCTCATTCCAGCCACAGAAATAAAATGAGAGGAAAAAGGTCAGAGGTCAGAGTGAGACATGAGTCACCCTTCTGGACGTATGAAACTGTTCCCAGTCTCTGGTGTCAGACACAGCTGCTACATCTTCATGTCATTCTCTAGTGTGTGTGTGTGTGTGTGTGTGTGTGTGTGACTGGAACTCAGAGCTTACCATCATGTCTCGTACCCAGCAGTGCTCAATATTATCCACTGACTGGATAAACAAGACTCAGAGTCTCATCCATTATGTGTGGATAATAATAATGGGGAACATGTAGTGAGCCTAGGATGAATGTACTTCTAAACGTTTTACAGACATTAATCTGGTCATTACAACAATCGTATGCAGCAGGTCATAGTGTCATTACACTTTGTTGACACAAAGAGAAGTATTTTAGGCCAACGTCACGTGGCCACTGAATAACTGAGCTGTGATTCAAACCCAGGCAGCCAGCCTTCAGAGCCCACATCCTCACTTTCCATGCTGGAAGCCGGAACATAATCCTCACCCTGCTGGGTTATTCTAAAGATGAAATGGAAATGTCTAGCACTGTGCCTGGCACAAATCTCGAGACCTGAGACTGGGACTCCTGCACACTGTCGAAGGCAGCAGGGAGCCAACCAACAAGGTCGAGGATGTGTCTGCCTCAGCTGTCACGTGGAGTGGGGGAAGCTGAGAGAGCTGCCCCCAGTCCTGAATAGGGTTCTCATTCTTCCAAACTGAGACTCAACCCCGGGGCTCTAGGCCCCTGATTGAGTCAGCCTCTGATTGCGGCTGCAGTAATTATAGCTGTGGAGTCCCGCTGGGCCCTGTGTGTAGAGGCTGTTCTCAGTGGTGGGCTCGGCCCCATCTTACAGAGACTTCAGATTGCCGCTGCTGCTAGGGTTTCAGTGAGCCCTCCAAACCCACAGGTTCGAATCACGGAGTTGATGATCTGGAAGTAAAACTGAGGTCCAGTTAGGCAATATCTTACCCAAAGGCACAAGGTTGGAACACAGCAAGGGTGTGGCAGCTCCATATTGTGAGATCTTAAAGGGAAGATGTTTAGGAGCACTTGGATCAAGAAAGACTTGAAGCTAGGCAGTGGTGGGCACACGCCTATAACCCTAGCACTGGAGAGGCAGAGGCAGGTGGATCTCTGTGAGTTTGAAGCCAGCCCGGTCTACAAAATGAGTTCCAGGATAGCCAGAGCTGTTACACAAAGAAACCCTGTCTTGAAAAACCAAAAAAAAAAAAAAAAAAAAAAAAAAAGACTTGAATGTCTTGGACTAGGAGACCATGAGAGAGCGGGACAGTGTGGGGTGGGGTCAGATTTAGGAAGATTGGCTTCCAATGAAGAGACATGGAGCAGGAGTCCCTTGTGGACTACTAGGGACTTATGCCGAGTAGCAGGACTGTGGTGCTGTATCCTGTGTCACCCTCAGCTAAGCCGCCATGAACTTCCAGATGTCTGTCTCTGCAGCCAGGGAAGAGTGTCCTGCGGAGAAGTTAAGCTGTGGACCCACCAGCCAGAAGTGTGTGCCTGCCTCATGGCGTTGCGATGGAGAGAAGGACTGTGAGGGTGGAGCGGACGAGGCCGGCTGTCCTACCTGTGAGTCCAGGGCCAGAGTCCCATTGTCTGCCAAGCAGTCAGGCACCCTCAGGAGTGGTGACCTCTTGGAAGGGGCCTATTTCTCTGTGGGGCCTGGAAGGTGGGAAGGGAAGAATAATGATGAGAATATTAGAAACGGCTGGGCACTTAAGAGCCATTTTCTTCTTTCATCCTCACGACCACCTCATGAATAGCCACCACCATCCCCATTTCACGGGTGAGGAAACTGAGGCTCAGACAAGGGAGGAAGTGTGCCCAAGGCTGAGGGATGGAACCGAGATTCAAATTCAGGTCTAACACACAGCTTTCTACCATGTCTGACATCTGCTCATCCATTCTACGAGTCTACCGACCTCCAAGCAAGCGCAGGGGACCAAAGACTGGGCTGTATGAAAGCGATGTCTTGTGCCGGGGCACTGGCAGAGCCGGGAGTGGGGCATGTGCCCACAGAGTCCTAGGGTGTGAAGGACGACTGTTGCTGACATCTCAGACTGGGGTACATATCGCATACAGAGAAGACATTCCCATCAGCCTCAGCAGGGACAGATGGAAGTGGTCATTGGGACAGTTCCACATGGCTGAACTTCAAACACAGGATAATCTCCTTCTCAGAGAGCAGGCCAGCAAGGTTTGGGCCAGGGGCAGTGGGGGGAGGGGACACATGATCTGGCTCATTTCACTTCTCTGGGTACCTACTATGTGCCAGGTCTGAAGGGGACGATAAGGTGGTCCTACAGTCTTCCCCTGGGGACTCCAGACTGGCCATGCTACTAGACTATGAGACTGGGTTGAAATTCAGGAAGGGTGTATGCCAGGCACTTGCCCACCACTGCCTCTCAGAGCATCTCCCCATCCCCACCCAGTCTCTCCTAGCCATCCTCCCTGGTCCAGGAGCAAGGCCATCTCCTCCTAAGGCTTCTGAGATTCCAAATGTGGAGGATTGATGGGTCTGAAGCAGGACGTGTATGAATAGGGGTGAGGGTCCCGACTAGTGTCTGCACTTCAAAGCCTCAGTGATGGCACTGGCTTCAGCTGTGATAGTTTTGTGAGAACTCATCCACCCATGCCAGTCCCCCTTTTTTCTCGACACACCCAACCTTGTAATCAAACGATTCTTCCAGTTTAAAGCTATCAACCACTATTGCAGGGAGTTGGGGGGGGGGGGTACCTGACTAGGGCATGTTGGGACAGGGACATCTCCTGTTAATTATAGGAACCAAAGGTGTGAGAAAGACTTATCAGGCTCCCTGTGGCCTGGGCAGAGAAGGACCCCTCCCTTCTCCAGTTCTCTGAGCCCCTTCATTTGTGAATGTAGGGAGTGGAGTCCCTGGGCCTTGGTAGTGGGACCTTCCAGGTACTGTCAGCCTCAGAACCTCGTTGAGAATCCAGTGTTAGGAAGCACTTCCTTTCAGGACTCTCAGAAGACAGACTCTGCTCTCCCTGGGTATGTGAAGCTGTGTCTAGACAGGCAGGAGGGTGTCAGCAGCAGCATCTTGGAGGATGTGGCACCAGAGAACACATGCTTTTCCCTCTGATGGCCCCACATCCCAAAAAACCCAGAAGGGGGAAAAATGCAGCTGTCAGGAACTTGGTAGGGCTGTCAGAAGAACATGACAAGGTCTGCATACATTGTAACACTGAAGACATCACTTGATTTTATGTTCAGTAACAATGAAAATTGACATCTTGTCACCAGAAAATAGAAACATGGACCCTGGGCGCCCCCATATGGAAAGATATGGAGCTGCCACCATGGTGTTTGTGGTCATAGCCACTGCATTCCTGATCCACCTGAGCCCTGAGGCCAATGTCTGAAGACAGGAAAGAGAGGAGGAGGCGAGGGAGTAGATGCCTTGAAAACACTCCAAAGAGAGAGGAAAAACAGACAGACAAACAACGGGAAAGCTGAGGAGCTGGGTCAGAGTAGGAAGGAAATCCCCAAACCTGAGTTCTGGTTCTTTTGTTTCAGTGTGACCCTGAGCAAGGTGCTCCCCTCTCTGAGCCTCAGTTTTCTTATCTTGAAACTAACACCTGGGCGGGCTGGTCTCTAAGGCCTTTCCTGCAACTCCAGACTAGCCTACCAGAGAGAGGAAGCCCTGGTCCAGACAGGGCCAGGACCTGTTCTTTACTGAATTCATCCACACCCACATCCTACAGAGGGTTCTGTGCCAGTCCTTAGAATAATGGGGTACGAAGAAGGACATATGGAGTGGCTGAGAAAGGCACATAGGCAGGCTGGGGCAGAGGGAGATTTCCTAAGCAGGGAAACAAGCAGCATGGGTTGGCTGAAGGTGGAATTTGGACCTGTGCAGGGGAAGACGCAATGGCCACAGGGCGGAAATTCTGTGGACTTGGTGAAGTTGAGGAAGGGCAGGTGTGGTTCAAGGTCAGTTAGCATGACTGAGCCCCTGCTTGGAAGTGGCAGTCTCTCATACCATGCTCCCTGTTCAAGTCTCCAGCAGGACCTCTTCCAGCCTATGGGTGAGGGTCAGCACGCCCTGTAACCCCCTTAGCAAGAGCTGGGCTGGGTCATGGGGGATGGGATCCGGCCGGCCGACCGGCTCTCTGTCCTGCGCAGTGTGCGCCCCGCACGAGTTCCAGTGCAGCAACCGCTCCTGCCTGGCCTCCGTGTTCGTGTGTGATGGCGACGATGACTGCGGCGACGGCAGTGACGAGCGCGGCTGCTCGGACCCGGCCTGCCCGCCCCGGGAGTTCCGCTGTGGAGGAGGCGGTAGCTGCATCCCCGAGCGCTGGGTCTGCGATCGCCAGTTTGACTGCGAGGACCGCTCGGACGAGGCAGCCGAGCTTTGCGGGCGAGCCGGCCAGGAGACCACGGCCACGGCGGCAGCCTGCGCCCCCGCCGCCCAGTTCACCTGCCGCAGTGGCGAGTGCATACACCTGGGCTGGCGCTGCGATGGCGACCGCGACTGCAAGGACAAGTCTGACGAGGCCGACTGCTGTAAGCCCCCTCCGCGCACCCAGTCCCACCCAGAGCCTGCTGCTATGGCCCTCCTACCCGGAGTACATCCCCTGCTTTAACAGAGACTTACACTGGGAGAATGAAGTGACTTGCGGGAGGTCACATGGCTGCTAAGGAGCGGAGCTCAGATCTGACCCCAGAAGCCAGGCACCTGTGTCTCAGCTATGTGGCCATTCCATCACACCTGTTGCTGCCCTTCCCTGTAAGAGGGAGTCTGGCACTGGTCCCCCTGCCCAGAGACCTCTGTCCTAGGAGTGCCTACATGCTGAGCCTGTCAGAGTCTGCTGACTGTCCCAGCTGTGCTGGGTCGCTGATGGGACTTTGGCAGATCCCTGCTGCCCTCTCTGACAGGCACCACTCACGGTGATGTTCTCATCTGTGCCTTTCTCATCTCCCTGCACCCGAGCTTCTGCAAAGGGGCTCTCAGTGTCCGGGCTCCCCACCAACACCCAGCACAGTGCCAGGCTCAGGAAGGGTTGACTGAGTCATGAGCACCAGGACTCAATGGAAAACCACACATCTGTGCTGAGGTGGTGGACAGGGAAACGGGACTGGAATGCTGTGTGACCTTTGGCAAGGCCTTCCCCTTCTCTGAGCTTCAGTCTCCCCATGTGTACACTTGAGATGCTCTGGCTAGGTGTCCTCTGAGGCCTCCTAAGCTCGGTCACTGTTCCATTCTTTCCGGGGTGGATGTGGCATGAGGCCGTGGGAAAGCTCCTAGCCCCGCACTGGTCCTGACCTCCTCTTGCCCTGTTTCAGCAGCACCAGGACCCTGCAGTGAGAATGAGTTCCAGTGTGGGGATGGGACTTGTGTCCTTGCAATCAAACGCTGCAACCTGGAACACGACTGCCCAGATGGGAGCGATGAAGCTGGCTGCCTGCAGGGTGCGTGAGCTCCAGGCAAGGGTTGGCATCCTCTTGAGGATGGAACCTCAGCCTGAGGAAAGGCCCTGTCACCCTCCCTGGCCTGGAGAAAGCAGAGTTGGGGGAGTTCTTCCCTTGATCTCTGAGATACCCTTCAGCATCACTTACTTGCCCATTATCACTGGGGTTCTGGGGCACAAGAACTGGACTTCTTTTTTTTTTAAAGATTTGTTTATAATGTATATGAATGCCCTATCTGCATATACATCTTTATGCCAGAAAAGGGCATCAGATCCCACTATAGATGGTTGTGAGCTCCCGTGTGGTTGCTGGGAATTGAACTCAGTTCAGTGTTCTTAACCACTGAGCCATCTTTCCAGCCCAAGAACTGGGCTGGTAATTAAGGACTCTCTAAAAGCTGAAAGAGGACTAAGGGGATGTGAAACACTGCGGGGAGTCTAGCCTCCCCACTGTTTGTCCACACCCAAGCCTTTCCTCACTCGTTCTCAGACTGAGCAGAGACTGAATCCTGTCCTCCAAAGAGTCCTTCTCATTCTCAGGTGGCACCGCTGGTCACCACCCGCCCTACCGGATAGAGGCCCTACCCACTAGTCATAGGGAGAGCTAGAGAGGGCAACGGCACTGGGCAAACACTGCCCTTGGGAGATGTCAGCCCTACTCAGTCTCTGTAGAGCTGCTGCACGGTCTTTCCCAGAACAGACAAAGACTCCTGCATGAGTGGATGAGGGTCTGTCCTGTGGGAAGAGCTTCCACAGGCCCTGGCTCCACTGTCTGTCCTAGGGTCCCCTAAAAGGTCTGTTAGGGCTGGCGCTTGAACTGTTCATTTCCTGTGGGCCTTGGTTGGCCCCGCCCAGCCTTGCCCCTTCCCACCCACTGTCTCACAGGCACTGTCCACTCTCTTGTCTGGCCCGACAGAGTCAACTTGTGAGGGTCCCCGCAGATTTCAGTGTAAGAGTGGCGAGTGCGTGGACGGCGGGAAAGTGTGTGATGATCAGAGGGACTGCCGGGACTGGTCGGATGAGCCTCAGAAAGAGTGTGGTATGCTACCTGTCTACACCTAACAGCTGAACTAATGTTCTCACCATGCTCCCTCCTGGCAGCCAGGCTAGAGGCCCTCTACCTGTTCTGACCCTCTAGACCAAGTGCTATCCTGTGGCCTCACACTGGGCCATTTGCTACTGGTATCTCTTGTTCTGTATTGCTGCAGAGCTCCAGGGACCTTTTCCTTTGAAGTCTAGATGCTCAAAGATTAGGCTGCTTCTTACGAAATGGGCCTCCTCACTCTGCCATATACAAACTGAGTATGTGCCCTCTACAAGTTTCTCTCTTCTTCTGTGTCCCTGCCCTGCTGATCTAGCCATGGCCTTGGTCCTTGAGCTCTTCCAGTCCTTGGCAGGATACCCTGCAGAGTCAAAGGTTGGGAGAAGCCAGGGAGCCAGTCAGGAGCATATCCATCCAGCATCAGTACTCAGGCCAGGCCTGGATGGGAGTAGGGTACTCCCAGCAGCAAGCAATGTCACCATTCTTTAGCCTGAGAAGCTGGGACTCGTGGGAGAGCTCAGACTTGCAGTCTACACTAGAGAGGAGTCGGGTGAGCTAGCTATCCAGTGACGGGCAAGAGCAGAGGCTGTGAGCTAGAGGTGGAGGAGGAGCCCAGAGTGTGAGCAGAAGAGTTTGGGCATCATCTCTGCTTGTCTCAGGACAGAATTTCAAAGAATTGGACAAAGGAGCTCCCAGAAGACAGAGTCTAGGTTGGCCCCTCCTTGTCCCCCCTCCTGGAAGACTGCCCAGCATCTCCCCTCCTGGGTACTCAGAGGAACATCCTGCCCCAGAGCTCCCCAGGATCAGCCTCTTTGCTCTCCTGAAGACTGAAAATGAAACCAGACTGGCTGAAAGGAAGAGCAGCTGAGCAAAGCTGGCTGAGCCTCCACCTGGGCTTGCAGAGACCGACACTCTACTGCCCCCAGACCCAGCAGGGATTTGTGAAGAGGGGGACAGGGAAGCAGGGGCAGCTGAACCTAGCTTCCCCACACTCAGAGCTGCAGTTATCCAGGGACTACTAACCTACCAAACTCTTCTTCTGCATGACGTGCTAGAGAGAGCTATGTCCTCATTTGTGTCTGTGTGTCCTTTTGTCTGTGCTGGTGAAGAGACCAGTGTCTGTATCCGCATCTCTGAATTACTGCATTCATGCATCTCTGCCTGCATTTCCATGTCTGTGGAGCCTGCAGACTTGTCTGTGCCTCTGCAATAAGCTAGTGTGGGTATGTGTGTGTATGCACGAAGGTGTGTGCATGCAAGTGTGTACTGTGCTAGGGAAAGTGACGTCAAATACTATTCAGGCCTCTAGACCACCCTATCCTCTTCCTTCCTCTCCCGGCTCTACACAGAATTAGAGAGGCACAGAGACTCTCTTCAAGACCTTCTCAAGAAGAGGTCAGGGATAAATTAATTGGGGCCTCCTAGCTTTTCTCCTCTCAACCTATGTTGGCCTTGGGTACTCCGTACCTTCGTTCATCTAAAGTCACAGTCCTTTTGAGCTCTTCCTGAGCAGCGCCACCCTATACATACCACTTGGCTAAGTGTCCAGCAAACAAAACTGTGGGGTTGCTACTACCTACAAAAGAGAGGAAGGAAGTGGGTGGGTGCACAATGAGGCTGTGAGTGAACGGGAGAACAAGTGAATGGATGGTGCTCATGGAATGATAAAGCCCAAGACAGATGACAGAGGGTGTGGGGACCAGAATGATTCCCAGTGGTAGATGTGCCAGCAATCCCTCCGAAGCTACCGTGGCTCAAACCACCTCCAGAAGACGGACTTCCCAGGGACGGGCCTGACGGAGCCCTCCCAGTCCCCCGAAGTCATGGGCTTGCTGTGGTCTTGTTCTTTCAGTTGCACCAACATTCCAGGGAAACAGGAGGAGGCCCAGGGGTAATGGGGACATTGCCTAAGCATGGCTGGAGGTGGGGACACCCACAGCTGTGCATGGCCTGGGATGGATGGGCAGCTCAAACCAGCTGTATGCATGGCCACAGCTGGTTCTACTCAGCTCTGCTTTGCTTGGCTGGAGTGACAGTTGCATGAACCTGGTGGGCAGAAGGGTGGTGTGGCATACTCTCCCCTGGCTTGTGGAATTAACTTTCTGTGATTCTGAGCTCAGGAGATGCTGTGAGAACTTGGTAAGCCTTGGTTCTGGCCTTCCCCTAGAGCCCTCCAGAAGGTAGTGAGGGAGTGGAGAATGAGGGAACCAGATCCAGATGACCTCTTGACATCCCATTAGTAATCCTGGTCTAGGCTTGTGGCAAGGTAGATGAATGGGACAGGTCAAAGAGGAGTTGAAGAAGCTCCACTGTGTAAGTCCTGGTAGGAGAGAGTCCTGACTCGGCCACAGGCAGATGTAAAAGAAAGTCTGGCCTAGAGACTCAGCTGTAGCAAGTAAGGGCATTATGCATTATCTGACTCCTGACTGGCAAACTAACTCTGGGCCCTGCCTTGTGAAAATATGGAAATGGTTGGGGACCAGAAGTCAGCACTTTACAGAGATCTGAGGGAGCCCCTGCCCCATGGCCAACCCCACAGAACAGAGCTGGAAGGAGGAGAAAGCCACAGGAGACAGCTCCTGTGAAGAAGAGGTTTATAAGAACAGCACCATTCCAAAGTGGCATCACCTGCCTTGGAGTGAAGTGGGCTCCTTGAAGCTGAGAATGGATATGCAGAGGCATTCAGAAAGCATTTTTGGGGGTTTCTCAAGGGGTGAACATACATTTAAGCTTAGAGGTTAGAAGGAAATGTTAAAAAAAAAATGTATTTGTGAAAGACCTCAGAGCTCCAGGAAAGGCCTAGCTACCTCTAGTCTGGTAGTGGATGGAACTCTGGCCTAGGCGGACAAGACTGGCGCTCTCCTTGTTCCACTGGCTCTGTCTTGTCTAATCAGGAACCTGCCCTCTGATCCTCCTCCTTCCCAGTCACCTAGCTAATGAGGTAAAGGTTGATGCAGCTTCCTGTCTTCCTGGCTCTGTGGGAGTCTGCTGCTCCAAGGCTTGGCTTTGCTCTGGGCCACTTCGCTGCCTGTCAGAGGAGTTCAGCAGCCTGTGTCCCCCCCAACCCCTCCAGGGCTGAACGAGTGTCTGCACAATAATGGCGGCTGTTCCCATATCTGCACTGACCTCAAGATTGGCTTTGAGTGCACATGCCCAGCAGGCTTCCAGCTTGTGGACCAGAAGACCTGTGGCGGTGAGCCCTCCCCCATCTGCCCAAGCAGATACAGACCCTCCTGCCGGTTCTGACTTGTGGTCTTTCCCACAGACATTGATGAATGCCAGGACCCAGATGCCTGCAGCCAGATCTGTGTGAATTACAAGGGCTACTTTAAGTGTGAGTGCCACCCTGGCTATGAGATGGATACACTGACCAAGAACTGCAAAGCTGTAGGTACGGACTTTCTAAGGAAGAGGGAACAACGCTGGGGCGGGTGGGGGGTAGGGGGGGTGGGTCTGTGAAGCACCAGACTTCCACGTATGTGAGGAGTGGTTAAACACACACACAGACACATAGAAAGCAGGTTGGTCATGCATAGTGCTCAAAGTACAAGTGAACATAGCATGCACAGTGCACTGCATGCTAACACCCACAGGCATGGTTAGAGCCACCCAGGGTATCCTTTTGCACATCCATTTGCACAGCACAGTGTATAGGCACAGATGTGGGCCACACAGCCAGCATAGGCAGTTCACATGAAGAGCATGACTTGTGTAGATCTATGTATTGATCCATTCAGTCGACCGAAGTAATTATTTAATTCTTTATATTAAATAGAATAACATCGCTGTAGGCACTAGAGATTCAGTCAGAAAAGACAGAGACACCCTTGTTAGTGATTAAGACAGACAAAAAAGAAGACAGATAAATAAAATACAGTGTATGGCAGGTGGCAAGTAAGGGCTAACTAAGGAGAAATAAAGTAGGAGGCAATGGAAACGTCTGGGAGAGTGGTCGGTTATGGTTTCAAACAACAGTCAGGGAAGCCCTCACTAGGTAAAAAGGACATTTGAGTGAGGACCTAAAGAGGTGAGGGAGGAGCCCGGTAGTTACCTGCAGGAATGGCATTCCAGGCTGAAGGGAGAGAAAGCGCAAACCCCCAGCAAGGGGCTGTGACTGGATGGTGAGGGAGCCTCGCGAGGAAGCTGGTGTCTTGGAACAAGGAGGCTAGTGAGAGGTGAAGTCAGAGGTGACTTGGCATTCCCCAAAGCCTTCCAGACTGTTGTAAAGACTGACTTGATTTCTCCTGAGTCTGAGGGAAGCCCTCACAGGGTTCTGAGTGGAAGGGAAATGTAACATTTAAGTTCCGCCTGGCTTCACTGAGCAGACTGCTGAGGGCTAGAGAAGCCACATGTTACAGTAGTACTCCAGGAGACAGGCTTGGAGCAGGATGGTTGCTGTGGGAATACTGAGAAGTGAACAGATATGTGTATATTTTGAAGGCCAACCAACTGGATTTGCTTTTAAATTGATGTGGGATGCTAGAGAAAAATGGGCCAGAAGATTCCAAGGACAAAAAACTTAAAAACAAAAAACGAATTGTTATTTCAGTATGAGAACGATGGGGAGAGAGGCAGGTTTGGGAGGAATGCAGACTGTGTTGGACATATTGAGCATAAGGAAACTAGCTCTCCACATGGGGTATTAACAAACAGCTCAGTAAAAGTCTGGAGCTTCACACGAATACGTGATAGAACACATAGATTATGGTAACACAGTAGCTACAATACTTGACATGAAACCCATAGAGCCTGAAATATTAATATTACTATTAACGTATAACAAACATTAACACATCCCATGTAACCTGTCTTGTCTTCTATATGGGACATGAGTAATGTGGCCTATATATGTTCAGTAGAGATAACATACTGGGTATATACACCAAATCCATACATGCGAATATCTAAGGTGTAGTTATAAAAAAATCAAATCATAAACACAAAGGTCCCTATTGCTGACACAGTTCTCATTAAAATTCACAAGTTGCCCTCTAATGCAGCTTATCACTTCAGAGAGGTAAAGTCATGGCTGTGTTTGAGGTGAAGAAAGTTCTGGTTCATTGGTGACAGAGCACGCCTAGAACCTAGCTTTCCATCTGATACTTCCTGCACTGTGAGCCCCGTTTTCCTGACTGTTTGTATCACCACTTCGCTCTTACCCCTTTGCCTTGAGATAGTTTCCATCACTACACACAATATATTTCCATCACTACACACTATACATCCCCATTTCCTACATAGCTCTCTGTACTGGGCCCATCCTGTCCCCATCCAGCCTGGCACAGATGCACAGAAGCAGGGACCAGGTGGCTGACAGAAATGTGTACTGGAAAACATGGGAACTGTGTCTGAGAATTGTGTGCTGCATCTCAAAACCACCTGGGGGTGTGGCAGTGCAAGGTCCTTAAAGACCTCTGGGACAGCAACCTCCAGATGGAAGTCAAGAATGTCTAGGTCTCACATGATCTAAACCTAACTCTAGAGTCCAAAAATAGGTTTGATCTATACATGGCCAGTTGTATGTTCTGTCCAGGGCATGTATGTGATCTTGTCGATGCCATTTATATCCTGTCTCTGTAGATGGCTCAACAAGCTTAGCCCAGCCTATCTTTCAGGGATCTCTATTGCTCAGGTGGGCCATCCTCGCAGGATGGCAGGTGGAGCCCCAAGCAGGAAGGGTAGTGACTGCAAAGAGTCACACTCTGGGACAAGGGAAAGACTTGGTGGGGAGAAACGCAGAATGGCAGGTAGTTTAGCTGGAATCCAGGATGGGAGAGAGGCCGATGAGCTAGACAGGCAGCAGGATTGTGCTGCAAAGGCCCCAGTGCAGGCATGAGGACTGCGGGGACTTGTATCTAGTAGAGACTAGAGCTTCTGCTGTGTGCTGGTGTTCATTTTCTCAACTGCCCTTCTAGCCTGTGAAGCAAGACCGTCATTCCTACCTCATAGGCAAACGAGGCCTCACCCAGCAAACTAGTGGCGGGAACTTGATCTTTATGGACTCCTTGCTTCCTCCACTGACACTGCTTCCTTGCTTGGCAGCTGGCAAGAGCCCATCCCTAATCTTCACCAACCGACACGAGGTACGCAGAATAGACCTGGTGAAGCGGGACTACTCGCGTCTCATCCCCATGCTCAAGAATGTTGTGGCACTGGACGTGGAAGTAGCTACCAATAGAATATACTGGTGTGACCTTTCCTACCGCAAGATCTATAGGTAAGTGGCATGCACCCTGCAGCCAGGCCATGAGAGGCTTGAAGGAGGGGCTGTTTACAGAGAAGAGGAAGCATGGCTGCCACCTCTCAGGACAGAGTTGGGCTTGAGAAGGGATACAGAATCACAGTGGCAGTAGAAGTACCAGGACTTCATCAACCTGGACCAGCATCGGCTGAGAGCTGTAGTGGGAAAACACCATTGACGGTGTCTGACCCCTGGTGGCCTAACAGAGAAGTACAGGACAGAGGAGAACTACAAATCGGGCCACATATCTGTGTTCTGGACCCTGAGGACTCAAGATGACTAAGATCTGATCTCTGCCTGGAGGGTCCCATGTATACTAGTGGGCCACCTTCTTTGCAGTCATGAGATGAAGGTAGAAAGGAGACCTCTGACCCAATTTGGTGATTGGGAAAACTTCCTGGATGGTGGTATCCCAGTAGTCACTGGGATACTCTGATCACTGGCTGTGACCTCAGCAGTGGACTTTAGCACTTGGGAAACTCCTTGGACAGTTGAGAAAGTTCTCTCCTAGGTCTGTCTCAGATGCCATATCTGGCCTCCTTGGACAACCAGGCATTGGGTAGACACTGAGTCACTGTAAAAGAAAGATGACGGTAGGTGGGTAGGTGGGGAAATGGGAAGACAGAAGCAAACTGCCAAGTGTGATTTACTGACAGCTGGATTCCTGCCTCCCACAGCACACATGCGCATACTGAGTTCATGCCTTACACACACAGAAGCAGCTAGAGTCTGTCCAACACACATAACTGGGAAGCAGGATTTGATGAGAGACTGGGCATGGGGCTGAATGAGGCATTACCCAGACTAACTCACGGGTTAATTTGGGGAGTCTCAGGAATCTGACTTGGGGTTTTTAATCCACTGTGCTGCTCTTTTATTTGGGACACAAAGGAGATCAGAGATTGGGGGTTGGGCAGTCTGTGGTTGAGGGACAGGAATAGGGATGAGCAGTTTGCAACACTTTGAGCAGAGGTACCCACGGACTAGCTTAAGAGTGCTTTTCAGTCTGGGCCTTAAGAGAACGCCAGGACTGCAGAGTCAGAATAATGGAGGGCAGTGGACAGTATGGAAGTGATAACACGGAGAGGGAATGGTGAGGGTAAGGGAGGGAACGGCGACCTGTAGGCAGCAGCATTTGGGAAGCCAAGTCCTGCCACTGGTGCCCACTGTTGGTATAGTCACTTCTCTGCACTGCACGGCCTTCTTTATCTCACCTCTGCATGTCATAAGCTCCCCCTCAGCTTCCCCTTCCTTTCAAATCCATCCATTCCAGGGGTGCCACGCTGAGCTAACATCCCCAGCTCTGTCCTTGAACTCAGTCAGTGACCTGTCTCACCCCTGCCCCGAGATAAAAGCTTTAGCAGTGCACTCACAGCTATCAGGATGCGGTTCTTGCCTGCACTCAGTTCATTTTACATCCCATAAGCCAGCTCTACCACAGCAAACACCGCATCCTTCCAGAACATGCTTCCTTCTACACTTACATGTACTGGTCTCTTTGTGTGTCTGGCTTCATCTTTTGTGCCCTTGGTGATCTAGTCCTTCAGGACTCAACCACAAGGCTTCTCCCACTCTGCAGGACAATGCAGTCTCCATTCCCCTGCTGCCGTAGCTTCCACACTGCAGTGTATCTGCCTGCAAGCTTCCTCCCCCACTCACTGAGCTCCACCAGGCCTGTGTCCCTACCCTGGTGGCTCAAGGACTATGTTGAGTGGAGATTAGTCAAGTTCCTCTCAAACCCACTGCCATGGCGCAGAGAGGAGACAAAGGGGGAGGGTTGCAGAGGCAGCTCCACATGGGCCCATGGGTGGAGCATCTGCCCATGGCCAGCCCTGCTTTCTCCTAAGCGCCCACATGGACAAGGCCAGTATCCCGGACGAGCAGGTGGTCCTCATTGACGAGCAGCTGCACTCTCCAGAGGGCCTGGCAGTGGACTGGGTCCATAAGCACATCTACTGGACCGACTCTGGCAATAAGACCATCTCAGTCGCCACAGTCGATGGCCGCCGCCGATGTACTCTCTTCAGCCGTGAACTCAGTGAGCCCCGAGCCATTGCTGTTGACCCCCTGCGAAGGTGAGTATTCCCACTCAAACTTTCCATCTCACCAGTATAGGTGTTGTTCCCATGTGTCTGTTATAAGAGCTGTCGAGGGGTCAAGAAGCCTGTGGGCCAGTCAGATATAGGGAGGAAGTCCAGACGGTCCTCATCCTATTTTTCTCCAGCCAAGGTACTGGGCATTAGTCACCAGAGATCTCCCTGGACTCTTGGCTCATTCATTGCATCACTGAAGTGGCACATCTTGGAACACTACAGATTCCTGGGAGTAGCTCCCAGGGTAGAAGCCCTTTAGGCTTCTGTAGGTGGGTATCTGGAAGCAGCTTAACCTTTTTCAGGGACAAAGAACTCATTACTTTTCATGGAGACTGTTTCATTGTGGGATACCTCTCTACCCCATTACACTGTGGAGTTTTTCCTCATAATTCCAAAGCTGTCTCCCTATAGCTTTCCCCAGAGGGAGTTACATAAACCATGCACTCAGCACAACCAGTAAGAGTCGAAGACTAAGGTCACTGGGGCTGATCTGCTCCTAGCCCCTCACCTTTCCCACTCTGTTGCTCACTGTGTGGGCTCCTTACCACCTAGGCTGCTTTATTCTGGCCACACCTGGGTGGGGGCTTAGGAATCCTGAACAAAACAATACCTTCTTCCTCCCTCAGTGGAAATGGTCCTTCTTCTCTGTCCTTGGTTGTTAAAAAGGGATAAGAAAACCCTCTTAAATTGAGATCAGCTATTGAAAGCAACCTCATGAAAGAGTGAATCAGTAACAGTGGGCTGCTATGAGCTCTAGTAGAAACGAGGGTCTAGGAGCAGGGACCTGAGTTAGGATGGTCATCTCCTTTCTTCTGTAAATCGGAAGAGGTTTGCAAGGACCCTTCCCACATAGATGCTCTAGGGCTGGGCTCACAGGCTGTTCAGCTGAGACTGGGTAGATTGGGGGTAAGCCGAGCTTCTCCAGGCTCTCATGAGATGAAGGTTAAGGTGCCTTAGTTCTAAGATTTGATAGTCCCAAATATTTCAGAGGTTCCCCATTAAATATAATCCTCAACTATTCAGTGGATCACTGAGCCTTTGTGACTCAGACCACCCCAACTGTCCCAGACAAGAAGCTAAATTTGGGCTCTTCTATCTTTCAGGTTCATGTACTGGTCTGACTGGGGGTTCAAGGCAAAGATAGAGAAATCTGGGCTCAATGGTGCAGACCGGCAGACACTGGTTTCAGACAGTATTGAATGGCCCAATGGAATCACCCTGGGTGAGCCTTGCCTGTCTACCTGAGTTGGGAGCCTGCACTAGAACTCATCCTGACGATTGTTAGGAGTCCCGTGGGTCTTGTTTCAGTGTCCCCTCATGGTGGCCAAGTGTCTTTGTTCCCTCCGGCTAAGTTCAGTGTGAGGCTGGGAATGTGGGTAGAGAAGAGTACAGTGGGGAGAGGTGCAGCTGCAGTCCCTGGTGTCTGACCTGATCCCTCCTCCTCAAGACTTGCTGAGCCAGCGTCTGTACTGGGTGGACTCCAAGCTGCACCAGCTATCCAGCATTGACTTCAACGGAGGCAACAGAAAGATGCTGATTTTCTCCACTGACTTCCTGAGTCACCCTTTTGGGATAGCTGTATTTGAGGTGAGCCCTAAGGGGTAGGCATGACCCTGCTAGGAATCTGAAACCTAGAAAAGGCTTCTTCAAATAAGATGCTTCTCTGAGACTTGTCCAAAGGGAAACAACAGAACAGGGAAGCCAACTGACATGCTTGTATACACTCTGAGAGCTGCCTACACAGAGGTTCTGCAGCCCTGCCTGCCTGGCAGCCTTTCCTGCGCTCTCTCCCCAAGAGCCTCATTCAGAGACTGTCACAAGAAAATTATTCAGCACGGATGCTTCTTCTCCACATCCTTAGCACCTAGCACTATATGTCACATCAAGGCACCTAACCAAAGGTGGAAGGGGAAGGAGTATGTCTTTCCTTAGAATCATTTAGTATACAACATGTCCTGAGAGATGCTATGCAGTTCAGCTCAGTTCTGTTGACCTTTGCCGAATCCTGGGGTCATAGAAGTAAATCAGAGAAACCCTGTCTCAAAAAACCAAAAAAAAAAAAAAAAAAAGAAGTAAATCAGACACTATCCAAGCTCTCAAGACGCTCTCAAGAAGGTGGAGTCAAGAAGTCCATCTGCCTTGACCCTGTCATCCTTTCTACTTGGGAAATAAGAAAGCCAGAACCTAACAGAGTTTCTTACACTCTTCCAGCTCTTCCCAAAACTAACGCTGCCATCAAGGGAAGGCAGAGTGAGGAGATGATGGCCTGTGGTGGGCAATGCAGTATTTTCTTAGAGCAGCTTCATTCAGTACTGCTTGAACTTGTGAGCAAAGTATCTCCTCCAAATCCAGCCCGTTTCAATTCAAATGTACTGGACATGTATGTGTGCTTGAGTATCTCCCTGGCATGTATAAAGTACATGTAATGTGCATGTATCTACATAAATGCACCAGAGTAAAAGTGTATGTTCCCCTGAGTGTAGCTTTATGTGTATGCACACTAAGAGAGGAACTTCGGAGTATGTCTTTGTGAGTATAGATGGACCTGTGGGTGTATCTGGATCTGTAGACAAGATGCATGGTTGCATCTGTAATTGTGGATTTGCCTACAGATGCATATCCAAGCTTCTATGGACTAACCATATAAACTTGTGTGTATCCTCACAGGAGGCCCAATAGCAGCTACCCCTCAAGAACTTACATGTTCCTTCTGATCTTAGTCCTAAGCCATGGGAATGGTACTAGTTATGGAGATCCAACCTTGGTTTTCTTTGGCTCCAGGAAATCAGCCTACCTCAGCTGTAGAGTAGGTTTGGCTTTCTGGTGAAAGCACAGAATTACCAAATAATCATCTAAGATAGAAGGAAACTAGAAGAGTTAGTGTCATCATCACAGGCGAAGAGCCCTCTGAAAACCTGTGGACCGGGAAGGTAGCTCTGAGAAGCTGTCTGTTCAGTTCTTCCTGATTTAGGGATAGGCCCTAAGACTGGGATCATGAGTTGGGATTCTGGGCTCCCTATCCTTTATATCTGTATTCCACAGGACAGGGTATTCTGGACAGATCTGGAGAATGAGGCCATCTTCAGTGCAAATCGGCTCAATGGCCTGGAAATCTCCATCCTGGCTGAGAACCTCAATAACCCACATGACATTGTAATCTTCCATGAGCTGAAGCAGCCAACAGGTAAGTAAACCTTCCCTGGTCCCTGGTTGCCTGCCTGTGTCCTCTCCTGCCATTTGGCAGGCTGTGTCTGCTTCCATTCATGCCATGATCCAGCATCCCCAGGAATACAACTATCCCTCTCGTAGAGCATGTTGCCATATCTTGTCTCATTTTGTTTCAGCCTCTGTGTGAAGCAAGGCTAGGAAGAAATGAACACATAAGATTCCTAGTTTTGTTTATTATTTTTCTTTTTTGTTTGTTTGTTTGTTTATTCGGAGCTGAGGACCGAACCCAGGGCCTTGCGCTTGCTAGGCAAGCACTCTACCACTGAGCTAAATCCCCAACCCCTTATTATTTTTCTCATTCAATAATCAAGTGAACTGAAGCCCAGAGAGAGAAAATGATGTTAACAGGCGGAAGAACGAAAATATAAACGCAGGTCTAGCTGACTGCGAAGTTCCATTGTCGTGACACACAGCTTCTTGTTCACTTCTTGCACCCGTTTTGCAGCAATATAGAATAATGTGTCTTGAGGCCTTACAGCAGGCCAGGTGGCTCACTGCGAACATATCTAGTCCTCTTACTGCTAGGTTGTCCCCTCCTCTGTCACTCTAACTGGGACAGGTATTAGCTGCCAGGGGGAGGGGGACAGCAAAGGGGGCAAGGAGGTAAGTTTGGTGCCCGATTCTAGTTCTAGGAATTAAAGAAGAGAGGTGACTTGAACACAGAGGAGGAAAAAACAAGACAAAACAGTAAGGGGGGGGTAGTTTGGGAGTCAGTCTACCTCAATTTAAATCGGTCTCCACAATTCCTACGGTTGTGATTTGAACATTTGTTCCCTGAGGTAGGCTTAGCTGTCAGTCGGGACCGTAACACTTAGCTCTCAGAACTGCAGGAACTGAATGAGAGTAAGATTAAGTACCAAGGACTGTGCTGGTAGGTCCGAGCAAGTCCAGCTGGTGGGACCTCATTCTTGGTAGACAAGAGGACCTGGCATGGCCTGTCAGTGTCCCAACACTGTGTCTGTCTGCCCCTCCCCCCTGCCATCAGCTGCAGATGCCTGTGAACTGAGTGCCCAGCCCAATGGCGGCTGTGAATACCTGTGCCTTCCTGCTCCTCAGATCTCCAGCCACTCTCCCAAGTACACGTGTGCCTGTCCTGACACGATGTGGCTGGGCCCAGACATGAAGAGATGCTACCGAGGTTAGTGACAGATGTTGCCCTTGGCTTCTGGGATATAATATGCTCCTGGCTTTCCTCCATCTTCCCTGGTTGCTTGGTACATTTGCATAGTCCTCTTTTTTAACCCTCCTTGAATGCTTGAGTTCCTGGGAGCCTTCTAAGGCTCTCCCATCTTCCAGAAAAGTGCACATATGCATAAAGTATTTTAAATTCAACTTTCAGGAAGTTTCTGGAATCCCCTGAAAACTTCAAGTTAATGGGGCTGGAGATGGCTCAGTGGTTGAAAGCATTTGTTGCTCTTGCAGAGGACCCTGGTTCAGTTCCTAGCACCTGTATGGTGGCTCACGGCCATCCTAAACTCCAGTTCCAGGGGATCCAATCCTGATGCCTTCTTCTGACCTCTGAGGGCACCAGGCAAGCACATGGTACACAGGCAAAACACCCATAGATATAAAATAAAATAAATAAAATCTTTTTAAAAAGAAAGAAAGAAAGAAAATCTCGAGTTATAAGCTCTCGATCTCCACATCTCCACTGACTGTTTCTACACAGATGGCTGTGCTTGCCTGTTTCTTAGCTAGACCTAGCACACTGCACAGAAGCCCTTGCAGTACGATTGTAACTAATGGTGGGATAGCACTTCAGCCTCATAAACAGGGTTGATTTCCCATCTCCATATATAGCCAAGGCCTTTGGCTTGAACATCCAGTGTGTTGCATCATTTATAATGTCCAGGTTCAATTGTTTAATGTGAAGAATTTAAACCTAATGATGTAACTATATATTAGGATAAAATGCTTACAGATTTGTATGATTTCTGCTCCCTCTAGTCTTTTACAGAGGCCTCTTCCACACTTACTTCTACAGCACTCTTTCACTGACTCATCAAATCAGTGAAGTGCTAGGATTCAGGATTCAGCTGAAGAGAAGATCATGGCCCATTCAGGGGGATGAGGGAAAGGTTCACAAAAGTGGTATCTGAGCTAAACCCAGAGGATGAGTCCCTCCGTGTAACTCATAGCAGCGATAATTTAGGCACTAAAGCAACCAACTGCTCTGTCTAAGTGACCTCCCTGGTCTTCCCCCTCTAGCACCTCAGTCTACCTCAACTACAACGTTAGCCTCTGCTATGACAAGGACAGTACCTGCCACCACAAGAGCTCCTGGGACAACCATCCATGACCCTATCTACCAGAACCACAGTACAGAGACACCAAGCCGGACAGCTGCTGTCCCACACTCAGTTAGTGTCCCCAGGGCTCCCAGCATCAGCCCGTCTACCCTAAGCCCTGCAACCAGCAACCACTCCCAACACTGTAAGGAAATTGCCTCTGCATTTTTTCATGACTTGGGGGAGTCCTATGGAAGCTCAGATGAAGGTTGGGGGTGGCTGTGAAGAGAGATCTTACCAGAACTAAGTAATGCCCACCTCTTAGGAGGAAACAAGGAAGGGAAAGGGCCATTCTGGGATTGAGGAAATTGGGTGTCCATAACTTTCAAAGGGCCTGGAGGCAAATATTCATTCCATCTCTGAGCCTCAGTTTCTTCCCCTAAACGAAGCAAATAATAAGCTACCCCTACTTGCTTCTTAAGATGGTCAGGAGAGGCAAAGGAGCCTGATACAGTGGTGCACGTCTTTAATTTCAGCACACAGGAGACAGAGGCAGGTGCATCTCTGTGAGTTTTAGGCCAGCCTGGTCTATGTAGAGAGTTCCAGGCCAGCCAAGGCAACATGGTAAGACCCCTGCCTCAAGAGGGGGTGAGGCAAAATAGGCATTATAAATGGAAGTGCCTGCTGCCTAGGTGTATGTTAGTATTTCATGAGTTTCTGAGGTCAGCAAATTTGGAAAGCTCTAATCTGAGCTCCCATCAGTCTTAGTGAGTCTCCTAGACAGTAACATCCATAACTCTGATCTGCTTGTGCCTGTTTCCAAACCCTGGGATAAAATCGTTAAGCTCCCCACCTCTTAAATCATTGGAAGCAGTAATTGTCTCCATTGGAACTGTTCTATCTCATTAACCAGAAAATACCTCTGTAATTACTAGGGGGAATTCATTTTAAAGGCTAAACCATCCCTCACATTTTTTCCATACATGACTGGCCCAGAATCCAAGCAACCTGGTGACACCCTTCAGATGAGGCTGTTTTGCCAGCAGAAGCTGGATTCTAAGAATAGAGTATTCCCCCTGGTGTTTGCAGAGGAGGTGCGATTCCATTTCCTCTCATCTGGGACAGAGCTCTGAGCAGTCCTCACAGGCCTCAGGAAGTTCTAGCACATCACAGCAAGAAGACAGCAGTGCTTCCAATTAGTTTGTTTAGGTTATTTTTCTCTCTTTTTTTCCTTTCCTTTTTTTTTTTTTGGTGTGTGTATGCATGTACATGTTCGTGTGTATGTGTGTACATGTGTATGTATATGTAAAGGCCAGGGATCAACTTTGAGGGTCTTCTCAATAGTTCTCCATCTTAATTCTTGAAGCAGAATCTCTCATAGAACCTGGAGCTCACTGATTGAGCTAAACTAGCTGGCCAGCAAGCTTCAGGTTTCCTCCTGTCCCCCCTCAGTGCTGGTACTACGGGCACATGCTGCCCCCTGGCTTCACACGGACTAGGGAGGGAGCATTATTCACATCCTCATTCTTACATGGCAAGCACCTAACAAGTGAGCCATCTCTGCAGCCCCTCCAGTTAGCTGTAAGCAGCACAGCTCTCTGATTGGTCAGATTTGCCTGAGGTGACTTGGAGAAATAGATTGAGGGATGGGTTTGGGGACATTGCCAGGAGCACTCATCACCTTATGTGAAGCAAATATGGCTAGATGTTCGGTTTTACGCTTCAGAGGGCTCTCATGGGATCCCAGGGGATAATGCTGTACAGATGTCACAGGGAACATAGTCGTGAGTTATCAAAGGAAATTCAATTAAAATACAGTCTGTTTTCCAAGCACTCTTCAGTTTAAGAGTGTGCTTTTCTGTGCCTTTATCAATGACAACAAGACCCTCTGTTTAGAGATATGGTCTCACTATGTAGCCTAGGCTAGTCTGAACTTGAGGTCTTCCTTCCTTCCCATCCTGAGTGGTGAGTTATAGGCATGCACCACCATGCCTGGCTAACATACCTTTTTAAATTTAGCCCTTATAACAGCTCCTAACCCCTCACTACCCTCTTGAATTAGGCAAGGCCAGCTAGACATTGTGCTGAGTCTTATATGAATTACCTCATTTAAACTTTAAATGTATTCTGAAGAGGTAGAAAATATTTTAAGATAAATATAATGCACATTATATGTCTCATATTAACTTTCATAGTATCACATAGGTAATGAGTAACAGACATAAAATCTGACCCCAGGAAGCCTGGCCCAGAAGCCTATGCTGCTGATTACACTCTACTACAGTCTAGTGTATCTCACTTTAATCTGTTAGGAAAGCAAGCTGGAAATGCATATAACAGGCAGACCACCAAAAACAGTGGAGACAATGAACTGGATCTTGTTTGAAAAGGCAGCTGACCCCATCAGCAACAAGGAGACCTAAGCACTCACCTGCCATGCACAGCCCCCAGCTTCCTACCATCCTGACGTTATGGAAAGAGTATAAGGCTTGAGTCGTGAATCTTGAACTCAAGTCCTAACTCTGCGTTTATCAAAATTTAGGTTGCCATATGTGAAACAGAAATAACCTCTGTCCTATTTGATGAAATTTAGTAAGACTGAATTATTACATAGTAGCTGGGATCATCATTTTAGCGTGGGAACAGAAGAGGGTGGATGGTTCTTATAGCTTGGGGCTAGTAAGGGCTTGGATTCGCAGTGGCAGAGCATCACTCTGGAAATGTTGGTGTTTTACAGATGGGAATGAAGGCAGTCAGATGGGCTCAACAGTCACTGCTGCTGTCATTGGGATCATCGTGCCCATAGGTGAGTGTGGCCCCAAACAACGGAGGCCAAAGGACTCTTTGCCCAAGCTTTGGGAAAGACAGTAGAAAGATAAAGAAGTGCATGCTGCCTGGTTCAGTTTGGGTTCTTGTGTGGCACACAGTACTCTCCGGCTTCTGGCCCTGTGTGAACATCCAGGTGCATCTCCCTGCCCGCCTCTTCACACCCCACACTTGCACCATGTAAAGACCAAATAAATGTTCCCTGGGGACCCAGCTGGTGTCTCTTGCTCACCACGCTCCCAAGTTCCTAGCAATGGCTGGCACATGATAGGGAATTAATTCTATGTTTGCTAACTCATGAGCCAAACTGCTTGCCATTTCTTGACTAAATAATCCTGTCTTGTTTTCCTTCTCTTTGCTTTTCAATAAACATTTATCAAGCAGCTACTATGTGCCAAACTCTAGTAAGGAAAGGGAAAGCAGTGAAAGGACATGCACGACATGGTCCTGTCTGAAAGTCTATGGTCTAGCAAGGTAACTCAGTGTAAAAGCACTTGCCACCAAGGCTGACGACCTGGGTTCTATCCCTGGACGTCACATGGTGAAGGAAGAGTTGGTTCCTGCAGTCTGTCCTCTGATCTCCACACACCCACCTTGTATGCACTGCCCACCCCCACCCCCCAATACTTAAATAAGTGTAATCTGAAAAGGCAGCAGTCTTATCCAAGGGACACATGTAACACAGGTAAGTTCGTTAGGACATGACAAATCTTAAGAGTAAAGCTATGTTACTGAGTTGAGTGGGAATGCCAAAGAATCACTTGGTCTTGAAGGGAAGAGGACAGGCAAGGTTTCCCACTAGAAATACTCCTTGAGCTGGGTTGGCCAAATGAAAGAGAATCAAGAGCAGCCCAAGTAGTGCAGACAGCATGAGCAAAGCCAGGCGTTGGGGAGGCGTGGGGAGAGTTAGGGAGGTTGAACTAGGAGTTCAGTATGGCACAGCAGTCCTGATTAAGACTCACAACCTGGGGCTGACTCATTTTTCTCCCACTCCGATATTCATGTGTCCTGTATATACATTCTCTCATGCCTGCCTCATGTCTTAGCAGTATTTTTGAGTTGGATTACACATTCTTAGGTTTATCTCCTATCTTAAGGTTATTATTGCTGTGATGAAACACCATGATCAAAGCAACTTGGGGAAGAAAGGGTTTATTTAGCTTATGCTTCCACATCATAGTTCATCATTGAAGGAAGTCAGGGCAGGAACTCAAGCAGATCAGGATCCTGGAGGCAGGAGCTGATGCAAAGACCATGGAGGAGTGCTGCTTACTGGCTTGCTCCTCATGGCTTGCTCAGCCTGCTTTCTTATAGAATTCAGGACCACCAGCCCAGGGATGGCCCCACCCATAGTGGGCTGGTCCTCCTCCATCAATCATTAATTAAGAAAAATGCCCTACAGATTTCCCTACAGCCCGATCTTATTGAGGAATTTTTTTTTCCCCGAGACAGGGTTTCTCTGTGTATCCCTGGCTATTCTGGAACTCACTCTGTAGACCAGGCTGGCCTCGAACTCAGAGATGTGCCTGCTTCTGCCTCCCAAGTACTGGGGCTAAAGGAGTGTGCCACCACCGCCCAGCTAGAGGCATTTTCTTAATTGAGGCTCCTTCCTTTCAGATGACTCTAGCTTGTGTCAAGTTGACATAAAACTAGCCAGCACATCTCCCGTAAGGACTTTGTCCTTTTATAAGTCACACACAGTAGATGCTAAAGCATGGTATATATAATGTGCTATAATAGAGGTATGACAGATACATAGGTGTGATAAAACAGTATCTTGATATTCCTGTGGAGGAAATAAGGAGTCCCAGAGTGGAAGTGATGGTTCTAGAGAAGACAGAATTTGAATCGGTCTTGAAAGGGCTCAACACAAAAGATGGCGGAGAGACTACTATTCTAGTTTGTTTTGAGTGACCCTGTTCCTGCCATCTATGCGTGCTTTCTGCTTGCTACAACCCTCCTGCCCCAGAAAAAATCAATATTTAAATGTCTACTAATCTGAAGGGGAAAAGATGAGTATCATTTCTACAAGAAGTAGAGTTAGGTTTTCATAAGTGTCCTGACCATTTATTTGCATGTAATTCTGTATGAATTGCCTACTCACAGTCTCATTTTTTTTCTTTTGGTTATCTTATTTGTAGAAATACACAATAAATATTAAAACCATAATAATATATAAACAAATATTTTCTCCTAGTCTGACGCTTGATTTTAAATTTGCTTATGGTATCTTTCATAAATTTACATTTTTAAAGTACCAGATCTGTTAATCTTTTGTTTTGTGAGTTCTGGATTTTCTGTCTTGCTTAGAAAGGCCCATTTCATTCTGAATTATTAAAATGTCTCCTAATATTTTCCTCTATTTAAATTCTTTTCAATGTTTGGATATTTATTATTTTAGAGTATGGTGGTAGAGATTTAACTCTGTTTTCTTTCCTAATTGATATAACAGTTCTAATCTATGACTATTTTTTTAATATATGTGTATAGATTCTCCAAAACCATTACATGTAGGGACCCATCATTTCCTTCTGACTTGAGTGGTCATCTTTATTGTAAACTCATGCCTGTACATGCTAGCCTGTGTGGTCCCCTTCACCTATTATCTGTCTAGACCCATAGACTAGCAATACTTTGTGATATGTGATTCTTGTAAACATTTTCTTAGATATCCTTATGTGACTTCTCTTCTAAACGAGCTTTAGAATAATTGTGCCACTTTGTAAAATGTATGATAGGGTTTTTATTGAACATGCTTTGGTATATACATTTATGTAAGGGGAATTTTCATTTTCACAGTATTAGACTTCCTCATCTAGGACCTGACATCTCAATTTAAGACTTCACTTCTGTCCTTTAGCAGAACTTGATAGATCATATCACATTTGCCTACTTCTTGTTAGCTTGTTCCAGGTATTTCATAACTTTTATTGGGTCATTATGAATGTGCTTATTATTCCATGGCATTTTCTAATTGGTTATTTATTTGGGGAATTATGTTTGTTTGTTTGGGTGGGTGTTTTTTTGAGACAGGGTTGCAGAGACTCTGTAAGCCAGACTTGCCTCAAATGTAGTCTAGACTGTCCTCAAATTCATGATAATTTTCCTGTCTCAGTCTCCTGAGTGCTGGAATTGTAGGTATGAGCTACCACATGTGGTATTCTAATGTGTTACTGCTTACTAAAAAGAAAGCTATTGTTTTTTTAGTATTGATTCTCGATGAACTAAATTATTTCTAAGTCTTTTTACCTGCTTCTCTAACACTAAGTTTTCTTCATTGCTATCTTTAATCATGGTATTTTTACTCAAACAGAAACCCCTCTGCAGTATCCTAAATAGTTTCCACTGACAGCTGAACACCACTACTTCCTTTGATGGGTACAGTCTTGGAAACTCCCCTCCTGTAGGTCACTCAGGGGTCCCTCTGCAGTTCCCACATGGCCATTGAGTTCGTGCCCATTCCCATCATCTTGATCTAACTCTTTGATTGCATTCCTGCCAGTTCTAGAAGACCTGTCCCTCTTGCTGGAATCAAGCATATGTTCCTTCTTAGGCCTTGGCCCTCAAAATACAGGACACCCTTTCCTTTGTTCTCTCTGGCCAAGGGACAGAGTGTGCTGGGCCTTGACTTTGCCATCAGTCCAACAAGGACTAAGCTGCTTAGTATTTTTACCTTGCTCTGAAGTCTTCAACTCAAACCTATGTTGCCCTTCTATATCCCCTTCTAGAGGCACTCTTCATCTGATGGAGCCTTAGCTTTGGGAAGACATGCAATTTTGAGGAAGAGTGACTCTCTCCCTCTTTTTTGAGGGAGAGTTCCAGAGAAGCAGTAGCATTAGGGTACAGGTGTAAGCAAACGTTTCTCAGCCACTTAGCGTGTGCCACCGAGCACCTCCTCAGAGCTAGGCATGGGTACAGAGAGAGGTAAATAAGCACAGCCTGGGCTGGAGAGATGGCCCAGTGGTTAAGAGTGCTTGCTGCTCTCCTAAAAAGTGGAGTTTATTTCCCACCATCCATGTCAGGTGGCTCACAACCAACTGTAACACCAGTTATCAGATGCCTTTTCCTGGTCTCCACAGGTTCCTGCACACACACGTGCATATGTATACACTCGCGCACACACATACATACACATAAAAAAATGATAAAAATCAATCTTTTTTTTTCAAGTTAGCACAGCCCTCAAAGGCTCAGTCCAATTGAGAGAACAGACGTTTAGAAAAAAGGAAGCCACTTAAGGGAGCAGCAGAGTCTTTCCAGAGCAGTTGAGAAAGACGTAATTCACATTTGAGCTGGCTCTCAGAAGATGAACAATTAACAAAGGGAAGCAGTGAAGGGAAGACATTCAAGCAGGAGAAAATGAGCATACACAAACAGTGCTGGGAAGCAAAGGGTAGCGAAGCTGGAGAGGCGGCAAGATCTGTGTTTTTGCTGGGCCAGAGATCCTGGTTGTTCAGTGTGCTGTGTCCTTGCCTCCAGTGGTAATAGCCCTGCTGTGTATGAGTGGGTACCTGATCTGGAGAAACTGGAAGCGGAAGAACACCAAGAGCATGAATTTTGACAACCCAGTATACAGGAAAACAACAGAAGAAGAAGATGAAGACGAGCTTCATATAGGGAGGACTGCTCAGATTGGCCATGTCTATCCTGCAGTAAGTATCCCTCAGTAGGAGAGCTCCTTCCCTCCCTCTGTCCTCTTACCCCATCCCTCCCTCCCTCCCTCCCTCCCTCCCTCCCTCCCTCCCTCCCTTCCTTTCACCTTATCAAGAACCTGCCACGCATCAGGCACTGTGCTGGCTCTGGGAGAACACAGACTTACTGAAGCAGGTGATGGGGTAGCAGAATACAGGACCACCTTTTACCTAGAGGCTCTTCCTGGCAGTTAAGAAGCCAAATGTCTTTCTGCAGAAGGGTAACTGGCTATTTAATCTATACATATATGAATTCCAACAAACTCTGAATGCCAGTTAAATGCCAAACCCCACATTAGACATCAAGTGTTCAGAATTAATGAAAGAATGAATTGTTTCCCAAGTAACTGGGGGTGGGGTGGGGGGTTAGAGATGCTAAGTGTCATGGTGGAAGTTGAAGAATCTACCCTTCTAGGAAGACTTCCTAGGCTTGCTTTCTTCTCCCACACTCTCCTGGCTGGGCCTCTCCATCCACAAACCACTTACTTTTGCTTAGTGGTTAACCTACTAGACCCTGAGTTCTCTGAAAGCAGGATCTGATGTGGTTAGTCTGCTTTCCTGGGCTAAGCATAGTACAGCTGGCCTCTAACAAATAATGAATGAATGAATGAATGAATGAATGAATGAATGAACGAACGAACGAACGAACGAACGGTATGGAAGCACAGAAAGGGAGCTGCTAGTTCTGTCTGGGGAACCGGGTTACATAACAACTCACAGTAACAGATGAACTGTCTTTAAAAATCGTAGTTTCTAGGTAAGGAGGAATGGAAGTGGCATTCCAGACAGAATCGTATGCAAAGGCTTAGAGAGCATGGCCTGTTGGGGACAAGGATTGTGAAGTGGTTTAGAACAGGTGTCACTGTTGTACAGCAGAGTCAGGGGGCTGAGTATGACCTCAAAGGTCATCCAGTCCATCCCCCTGTCAGGCAATCAGCAGCTTTGATCGCCCACTGTGGGCAGAGCCCTGTCTTGGGGAGACCAGAGACATGGAAGACCCAGCCCCTGCCCTCAAGGAGCTTTTTGTCTTGCCGGGGGAACCAAGGTCACAGCTGCACCAGCTCCCGAAGAACAACCCTCTTTCCGAGCGGCCTGTCGTCAAGTGCAAGGTAGGGCAGTGCCACTCTGAGCCTGAGGGGCTGGTGAGCGAGGGCCATAAACCTAGGCAGATACAGCAAATCCTAGAGCGCTCTCTAGATTTGGAGGGCTGCAACTGTAAGCTGGATACTTGGGCAGAGGAAGAATGGGCTTGCCATAGACAGAAGCATGACATGTGGAATAATGTTACTGAATGTGTGGCAGACAAACTGCTGTTGAAGCAAACTGTTTGTAAAGGAGAGGTATGAACAAAGTTGAACGGTGTTGTGAGGATTAGCAGATGGCCTTAAAGCTCCTTAACCATGGCTAGTGCAGGCAAAGATTCTTAGAGATCAGAGAAGGCCCAGTACAAGAGGCCTTGAGCTTGGAGGAGATGGCTCTCAGTTCCACTGTTCATAGCCCTGTGGTCTTGCCTACTTACCTTTCCTAGTGTATTGAGAGTGATAACCCAGTCTCTGCCTCCTGAGGTTATGAAGTTTAAAAGCATTTTGTAAATTACAAATCACTCTACACTAAAGTATCATCATTTCCAGAGCAGGAAATGATGCAGTGAAGTTTACCCCCTGATTACTATAAGGCCTGTGTGATGAGCTCCTTCCAGTCCCAGAGAGACAGAAGCTGGAGTAAGCAAAGTGGTATTTAGCAAGCGTCTGCTGTGTGTCAGACACGGCTTTCGGTGTCTCACACGTCTTTCCCTCACTCAGTCTGCACGGTTTCCTTTGGAAAACTGAGAAAACAGGATTTCATTAACTTCCTGAGATCACAGCCAGAAAGTGGCAGAAGCAAGATTAAACTCCAGGTAGTGTGCACAGAGGCCAGTGTTCTTTCCACTCTGTCCCGGGGTACCTGTCCTTGAAGCTCTGAAAATCCTCAACCTGTCTTCTTCTGTCCTCTCCTGTAGCTCTGCCATCACTTCTGGCGCCTGTCTTTGGCCTAGAGATAGGCTTGGCGAGAATAAGAGGGTGGCTTGACAATACCTTGTTAGTTAAAGCATGACCAAGTATGCATGGAGAAATTAAAACAACCGAAAATTAACTTGAAAGGCAATGGGGGTTCTTTTTTTCTTTGTCACACTGTAGCATTCCAGAAATGGAAAATGTTTATTTTATGATGGTTAGGTTTGACTAGACTACTCCAGATCTCATCCTTGCTAGGTAGCATGTCAAAACTCTAGATACGTTATTTCATTTGGTTTCTCATATAAAGTAGATCCTAACCTCATCAACAGTTGATGAAAAGGAAGTGAGGCTAGTCCCAAATCACAGTGCTTTGAGAAAGGTAATAAAACTAGGATCTATCCAAGGAAGGTGCCCAGGAAATGGGGAAAGTGGTAGTCAAGGTTCTGTCGGGATGAGCTACGGAAAGTTGGATGTGTATCCGAGGAAAGAAAGCAGAAAGAGAGGAAAGGAATTCACTTAGCTCAAAAAGAAGTTCTGGAGCTTTCCTCTCCAGAACTCGGAGACTAATACAGAACTGGGGTCATGAGAAGATGTAAATCAACCGCTTTTACGTCAGTATAGGACAGAATTCTAACCCTTAAGGACCACTGGTCAGCCATCTGAGGCAGAGGAGAATTGAACATACAGCAACTGGAAATGAGGGACAAGGGAGAGAGAGACTGGATGTAGTTACTTATAATGCTTTCCAGTGCTCTTTTATTACTCAAAAGGGGCGCAGCATGGTACCCACCTAATTGTGATTTGTATTCTGGAGACAGGTGGCTAATTGCCCAAGATTTAACATTTGACAGTTAACCCTCTTTAAGTTCACCCAACTTAAAATCCTATAAGGAACCTAAGTTTAGATCTTTGCTACCTTTTTTTCTGGAAGCCAACGAAATGATGGGGAAAAGCTACACTTCTAGATCTGCACAGACATGGAATCAAACTTTAGTTCAGCCATTTTCTGTACAACCCACAGTGATATAATTGAGCCTCAGTTTGCTCATCTCTAAAATAAGTATGATAAGTCTTGTCATTGGCAGTTTGAAGACTGTGTGAGCTAATCTCTATAAAGTAATACTATGTCTGTACTTTTGTTGATATTTAGTAAAGATTATCTCTTATAGATCTAATGATGATTTCTTGATCTATTTCCCCAGCGAGTGGCATTAAGTCTTGAAGATGATGGACTGCCCTGAGGATGGGACCACCCCCTTCGTGCCTCATGGAGTTCAGTCCTATGCACTACTCTCTGGATGGTGTGTGCCTGGATGAGTGCCATTTCTATATATGGGTCTGTGTGAGTGTGTGTGAATGTGTATGTGTGTGACTTTTTTTAAATTTATGTTGCGGAAAGGTAACCACAAAGTTATGATGAACTGCAAACATCCAAAGGATGTGAAAGTTTTTATATGTATAATGTTTTATACACTTTTTAACTGGTTGCACTACCCATGAAGAATTCATGGGACAGCTCCTGCTGAGTGACTAACATGATGTATATAACCAAACGGGGCCAATGGGACAAACTTGACTCATCATTTGAATACTATATTTACAGAGGACATTTGTTTTGATTTGAGGGCTTTTTTAGTTTGGGGGCTTGGTTTTTTGTAAATAAAATTATGCTTTGTGGCTATCCATCAACATAAGTATAAAAAGAAAGAACACTTCAACTTCCTTCCTCATTTAGATTATTTATTAACATATTTCAAAAGTAAGGTTAGCTCTATAGATAAGTTAGAGAAGTGAGAGTATTTATTTTTGGTATGACTGGCCCATTGCACAGACTCTGTGTTTATGTGTGTATGTTTGTATGAAAGAAAAAAGAATCTGTAGAGAAGAGGCACACTCATGACTATTGTTCAAATACATAAAAACAAAATTATTTTAAAACAGCCCACAAGAGGCGTATCTAGTTTTCAGAGACACCTTCCGAAACTTCATTCAGAAAATAGATGCCACAGTTTGCGCAGACATGTGGTGGGAAAAGATAGATCTTTTCACCTCCGGCTACTCCTGAGTACTTGGTGAGCCAGCAAGAAGCTTTTCAGCTTGTCCATGATTGTTATGACACCTGCCTAAGCTTTCTGATCTGTGGTTTAGGTCAGTATACAGATATTACACAGTGCCAGAAGTCCTCTTAAAGTTCAGCTCTCTGTGAGGACTCAGGTTGACTTTCCTCTGAAGCACCTGAAGGCTGAGCCTCTAGACAGCAGTTCTCAACCTGTGAGTCATGACCCCTTTGGGGGCCAGATGACCCTTTCACGGGGGTCACCTAAGACCATTGGAAAACACAGATATTTACATTACGATTCATAACAGTAGCAAAATTACAGCCATGAAATAGCAACAAAAATAATTTTATGGTTGGGGTCCCCACAACATGAGGAACTATATAAAAGGGTCCCAGCATTAGGAAGGTTGAGAACCGCTGCTCTTGAGCTAAGTGAAGACATTTCTAGGATTGCCAAATTTACTATAAGAACTGGCTCAGGCACTGAACCTCCGAGTCGCTGTGGATGAGGACAAAGATTTTGGAATAGGTTTGATTAAATCTCTGTTTCTCCATCCCCTTACTTTCTACCATTTTCTTAAGTAGGGGAAACATTTTAAAATAACAAACATGTTTCTTACCATCATATGTTCACATGGATAAAACTAAGTCCATAAAGGTTACCACATCCAAAGTTATATTTGGGGGGGAAATAACATAGGAGATATAGCATACTGGGCATGTGTCCACACAAGGATTTGTTTTACTGCTTTATAAATAAAAGGAAAACTCTGGGTGTTTATATAGATCTTTCTTCGTTATGAACACCACCTTTACTTTTTCTGAGCCTTGGGGTGGGGGGGAAGCCATTTTCTGTCTGTGGGATCCACTGTTGGAAACCCCATAGTCCCAGAAGGAATTCAGTCTCCACTAGCTTTCTCTTCCAAAGTATGGTCTTTCCGTGATTCTGCTGTTCTGCCAATTCACTCCAGCTAAATGACCAGGGACAAGTACAACATGGAAGTATTTGGCTTACGTGGAAGCAGAGGACATGTATCTACCTTTGACATACCTGGAACTTGACATTTAAAATGTCTCCTGTTCCCACTCTCCAGCTTCCCCCAAATCAGTGAAGCTTGAATGTCTCACCAGCTTGACACCCTCTGAATTTCAAAGGCCATCTGGAGTTCTGCCATCCTGTTCCTAGGAGCTTGCTCTAAGTCACTCGTGTTTTCCTAACCTTTAAAAGAAATGGCTGTGTTCTAAGTGTGACCATTATGTCTGACAACTTCCTTCTGGTATACATGTGTTGATGGTCCTGAGATATTCGCTGAATAAATGCAGTTGACCTCTGACCCATTCCAAACAGTCTCAAGAACAGGTGGCCAACTCCTATGGAGATTACTCACTATATCCATTCAGGAATGGAAAGGAAAATCAATTCTAACTGAAGAAAAATGCTGAAAGTGAAAGCATCAACATTTGCACAAAATAAGCAGCTTCAGTAGTTAATTCAGAGTTTCTGAACTTTTAGTCAGATCCTGGACTTCAAAATATGGTTGAAACATACAGTCCAGGATTTCCAAAAGATGAAATTCACACCTTAGAAGTGCCCTATTCCCTGACTATGCTACAGCCACAGTCTGCAAGCAGGGGCTGTAGCAGCACTCTACATCAAAACAAACCGACAAATCCATGGGTAGCAGTAGCTCAGAAGCAGTCTGGGGAGGACAGCCATTTCCTCCTAGCACTGAAGACTTTGAGCCTCATTCTGAGTTGTATTTCAAATCTGCTGCTGCCCTTTGCTGCTGTGCATATGCAGCCACAGCCAACAACAGCCAGAAGGATGCTTAGTGATCAATCAAGGGGGCAGAACACTCAACAAACTACTTACTAAAAGACGCCAGGCCAGGCCTTTGGCTCTCCCTTCCCCAGAAGACAACACTGGGCTGCCTGAACAAGTGTGCAGTCAAACCTGCTTCCTCTCCTGTGACTGTCTGTCCAATGCACTGATGAGGGCACTACCAGAAATGGCCTTCCTGAGACAAGAAACTAAAACTCTGCTCTTCAGACACACACACACACACACACACACACACACACACACACACACACACACACACACACACGACTGAAATGGCTTCTGACTTCAAGGAGTAAAAATAATGAGATGGGATTTAAAATGATGGCAGTTAATACTCTTGAGACCTTCAGTTAATCTTATGTATTCACAACATACTATTCACTGGGTGCTATATGCTAGGCATTGCAAGCATCAAAGGTCAGTTAAATGTTTTTCACCCCTTCAGAGCTCACTGCAGTAGAAGATACATATGGATGGGGACACACACACATACACAAAGGGTAGATTCCACTTAGAATACTGCCAGAACACAACAAAGAAGATGGGTCATTTTACCTGAAAAGATGAAAAACTGGGTCTTCATAGAAGTGACCCAAAGACAAGTCTTAAAAATTGAAAAGTGGTGCTTCTGGCAGAGGGGACACTGAGCTAAGACTGGGCCTGAATCAACTGCGGAACTCTAAGGAACAGCATGTAGTTCATATCCGGAATAAAGAACTCAAAGGGAGTTGGCAGAAGAGAAACTGGATGGAAAGACAAGTTCAACACAAGCACTTTATAAAATAACTTCTGATTGAATGAAGCAGACCGACCTTTGGTCGTGTGTTGTGTACAAGGCATCATGGAAAACTTAACCGCCAGCACTTTGAAGGCATGACGTCATTCCACCTCAAGCGTTCCAGTGGCCACAGGGAATGCTGACTGCTTTCTACTTATTTGAGTCAGATTTTTGACACGGTTAGTGAAAACTAATGTAAGGGCAGTGGGGTTTTCAACAGAAGCACACTGTGCTGTCAAGCACCTTTTCCATTTCTCTCAACTGTAAGAAAGAAAACAGGACGATAGAGATACAGAATCCGAGGGTATCCCAGTCAGTACAGTCAGGTGCTACTGGGTGCAGGAGAAAACAATTCAAATCCCACAGGAATACAAAGACCATGCCCATCCGCCACACACTCACCACTTCACAAAATGTCAGTCAGTCAGTCAGCAGTTCCTAACTATATAATTTCCTTCCTCATAAATGCATGAAGATAGAGTGTCAGAGTCTCCTTACACTATATTTTTAGGATATTTGGGACTTTTCAAGATATGAAGAATTTAGAAGGTGGAGGAAATTAGAGCTCCAAATGTTCAGTTAATTAAAGGAAGCTTCATTCAGACTGTTCACCATGTGCACAGTCTTAAGAATCAGCAGGAACAGCATTTGCAAACATTTTGTGTTGTCAAAACTAATTTAAAAAAAAGCTACCTGTATAAATATATACATATATATATATTTAAAGACAAGGTTTTGATACTTTTTTTTTTTTTTTACAAAAACTACAAGAGAAGACTGTATAAACCACAGACTTTTAAAATGGCATTTTGTTCTATACAAGCTGTTAATGTAAGGGTAAGGTACTGGTTTGCAAACTCACACTATCCAAATGGGTTTTCTTGTTTGCTGCCTCCCCCTCCAAATTACCACATTGGGTGTAATAGTAGGGCATGTAAAATGTTGGGTCGCACTAACCATTTCTGCTCTTGTCACATCACTCTGAGTTCCGTTAGCTTCTGTACTCAGTGTCTCGGCAACCTAGCTTCTTCCAGAGGCCGAGGGACTGAAGGAGGTGTGCTCCATTTCACTAGCTGTACTGACATCATCTTGGTGAACTGAAAACCAAATGTGGACATTTGTAAAATCAGAACACTGTTTCTAGAGAGATTAAATTCATTTTTTAAAATCTGTTTTGCTTCATTGTGGTGCTTTAATGGGGGGATGTGTGAACTAACACTGATTAACTCCCTAATGTATAACAAATGTTTTTCACAAATCATCCCAATCTTAGCAATAATCCTATAAAATAATATTTTCAGTACTATCCACTCCCACTTTATAAAGAAATGAGTAAAGTAACTGCCCAAAGCTACAGTTCTTTTTCGTAGTCCTAAAGAACAATAGCATGTGTAGCAGTCTCTACCTAGAATTTCCTGCTTGTTATTAAGTACTAAATTTAGGTAGTATCTCCTCCAGGAAGCAACCTCTTGTCTGTTTCGGTTAGCTAACTCCACATTTCCAGTACGATTTTTGCCTACTTGCAGCCCAATGTTTTCTGATCTGTCACTTATTCTCATGCCACTGTGGTGACTTTTACAAAGGTCATCTAGGGCCTCCCTTATTGGAAATCTTGTAGACACCTCCAGTCTTTTTCTTCCTTGACCTCAGAGCAGTATTTTTTTTCCCCAGAGCTGAGGACCAAACCCAGGGCTTTGCGCTTGCTAGGCAAGCGCTCTACCACTGAGCTAAATCCCCAACCCCTCAGAGCACTTTTAACACTAGGCTGTTCTTTGTTTCTGGAATACACTTAGTTTAGTATCTATAACACTGTATGTCTGGCTTTCTCCTCACAGCTTTGGTCACAGCTTAGTCTCCTTTGCCTACCCTTTACATGATGGTATTTCATTTCAAATCCACTCATTATGGTATTTCATTTCAAATCCACCCATTTTTCAATCTGCATTGTCATTACCTGCACATGAGTCATCATCGTATGACTACCCTCGTGGATTACTTTAACAACTACCTATCTAACTGTATTATACTTCTGGTCTTTGGGTTTTCCAGTCTAGCTTACAACCAAAGCAGTCTTTCTAAAATGCAGCAGGAGCTGGGCATGGTGATGGCATATGCCTTTAATACCAGTCTGGCCTACATAGTGAGACCCTGTCTCAAAAAACAAAAACCAAGCAAAAACAAAACAGTGGTAGAGGAGGGAGTGGTGAGATGGTTCATTTGGTAAAGATGTGTGTCAGTCTTCCATAATGGAGACTTTTATTGTTTTTGAGCTATTCAACCTTAAAATTCCCACAGTCAGAAAACTTTCACAGAGGTCAACTTTGATTCTTAAAAATGACCTCTTGGGTAGTGGTCCCCATGTTTGACTCATCTAGCTTTTTGTTTTGTTTTGTGAGAGGGTAGACCAGGCTGGGCTTAAACTTACAGAGATCTGCCCCACTCTGCCTCTGAAGAGCGGGGATTAAAGGTATCTTTAATGCCTGGCCTGGCCTGGGTATATTTGGAGGCGTCGATGCAGGATTCCATCAGCACGCAGCCAGGGCTAAGAATCACTGCTGGGTAAGGAGACTAGGGGGTGGAAATCCAACATTTTAACTTCTACCCACAGCACCTAGACATCAGTGTGCCTGGAAGACAGGAGAGATGAAAGGCAACTTGTGCAGGAATGTGGCCCTCTGGAGGATGAGGTAGGAGGGTCACAAGTCCTAGGTCAGTCTGGACCATGTAGCCCTCTGGAGGATGAGGTAGGAGGGTCACAAGTCCTAGGTCAGTCTGGACCACGTAGCGGTACCCTGCCTGTAAGTAAAATAAATAAATGGCAGAAAGGGATGTTGGCAGTGCAGGCAACTCACAGGAAACGCTGTGGATTGGGGAAGCAGGCACTGACAACAGTTTTCTTAAAAGATAGTTAAGTAAGCTGGGCATTGGTGGCACACACCTTTAATGCCAGCACTCGGGAGGCAGAAGCAGGCGGATCTCTGTGAGTTCAAGGCCAACCTAGTCTACACAGACAGTTCCAGGGCAGCCTGAGCCGTTAAACAGAGAAACCCTGTAAGACAGTTAAGTAAAGCGAACTTTTTCGAGACAGGGTCTTAGTATGCAGCCTGTAGCCTCAAACTTGTGACCCCTCTGCTTAGTTAAGCTCTGAGTGCTGGACCACAGCTATTCACTACTACACTCCCCGTCAAAGCCAACTCCTGATTCAGACACCGGGGGTGGGGAAGGGGGCAGCGTGCTCAAAGATGGGTGAGCCATTTTGCCCCAATTTACTGTGGAGACCACTTGGGCTCAGAGAGTGAATAGTCTCGTTCGACTCACTTGTGTCTTTAAATTGAGGCTGAGCCTGAGTGGACTCCAGCGCGCAGGGCGGGGCTTAAAACCTACGGGTAAACGTCTCCTGACGCCACCGTGGGAGCTCAGGCCTTTACGGAAGCCCACGGACCTTGCGGAGCACTTGACTTCCGGAAAGGAGGAGCGCCGAGCTTGATCTCGCCTCAGGACTAGGAGGCGTGGGATCTCGTTCCCGCCTCCAGAGAGCGAAAACCTGTTAACGGCGCGGCGGTTTGACGTCACTTCCACGCGCCACCACTACGTCAGTCTAGGGCGCAGATCCTGGTAGTGTGATCTGTTCCTAAAGTTCGCTCTTGATTGTCCCTTGTGGGCCATGGAGAGTGACTTTTACCTGCGTTACTACGTGGGTCACAAAGGCAAGTTCGGTCATGAGTTCCTGGAGTTTGAGTTCCGACCTGACGGTAAGAGCGGCCTCCCGCCTGCCGGGAGAGGGACCGGACCTGGGGGAGGGCGGAGGAGCCGGGCTCCGAATGTGGCCAAGTGAAGGAAGGGACTGAGATCGGTGCCGCTGGGGTGTGGAAGGCACATTCTTTTTTCGGCTTCGCTGGTTCTTTCTGTCTGTACGCTGGAGCTTCTCCTTGGTAACTTTTTTTTAAAAGCCAGATTGCTTATATTTCAACGAAGATTGAATGCCCATGTTCCACCGGACTGTGTTCCACTCTGGGGACAGAGCAACGAAGATAAATTTCCACTCTAGTGGAAAATGTGTTTCAGTACTGGGAGAAACCGTAAACAATGATCTCCTATCGTGAGGAGTGATCAGAAGATAGCATCGCCGTTAGAGAGCACTCTGAAGAATGGGTATTTGAATTGAGCCGTAATTGAAAAGGGATTAATTTGTGACGCTCAGGAAAAATAGCGTGTGAACAGCAGGTCATAGGACAGCAAAGAACCAGGCATGTTTCAGGTGGCCACTGTGATGACTGAAAGATAATAGAGAATTTCAGGGAGAATAGTAGGAGATGATGTTAGATAGGAGCCTCGCCATTTAGGTGTTTATAGGCCATGAATAGGTGCAGCAGGAAAACAACTGGAAACTTTTAAGAGAAGAAGTGTGATCTGTTCTTCAAAAAGTATACTGGCTCTTGAACACAGAATGGGCAAGCGTGATGGTTGTCAGGACATAGATGGTGGTCCAGACTAGATAAATAGGACTATAGACGTGGAGAAGATTTAGGATACTGTTGGAGACAATTTGAATGTATCTGATTGATAATATTTTGGGAAGGTTGCAGTGTGATGAGGAAGCAAAGACAGTTCTCCTCCTCAGATCTTTTCCTTGTCAGTTCATTCTCTATAAGATGGACAAGAAAATGTAGCAACAGGCCTATGTAATTAGATTACTGTAGTTCTCTGATACTGTCAATGGCTTCCCTCTGCCTTCCTGATAAGATTCAAACCCCTTACCATGGCATACAGCCAAGCCGAGTTCCTGCCTGCCTGTCCAGCCACAGCCCTACAGTACTCCTCGCACACTGTTTTGTTTCTGCCTGCAACATCCCAAGCACTTTTTAGTTTTCAGCCTCTTTGATGTGAACTCTGTCCAAAACGCCATCTTGTCTTTTCTTGGTCCCTTAACCCACACCTACACTTTACATTCTTCCCTTGTCCCACCCACCACCCAAAGTCACTTTATGCATGAAACCTGCTCAGACCTTCAGCCAACATTTCCTGTTTTGTTGTTGTTTGGTTTTTCGAAACAGGATTTCTCTATGTAACTTTAGAGCCTATCCTGGAACTCACATTGTAGACCAGGCTGGCCTCGAACTCACAGAGATACGCCTGCCTCTGCCTCCCGAGTGCTGGGATTAGGTGTGCGCCACTTAAAAGTATGCAGAAATAGATCAGCATCATAGGACCACATGGGGGTATATGTGTGTGTGTTCCTGTATGCAGCTTCCTACGGTTTTCAAAATACTTCACAACCCAGTTGAGCATCGGCACACTCTCTGTGTAGGTAAGTTAGCAATTATAATTCCTGTTTACAGCTGAGGTCACTGACCTGCCGAAAAGCTGTTTGCCAGAGTCATAAAGAGCCTGCCTGTGTTCTTTTGCCACATCCTGGTAGCTTTAGCCTGGAGTCTAGTTCGGTGTCAGGTGCATCTTCAGTTGTTTAGTAGTTTAAAGTAGAGCACTGAAAAGACTAATATCACAGCTGTGAAGTGGGTTGAAAATGGATATAATTTAGACAAAGTTGATATTCTTAGTAGGCTACTGATACTTTGTTCATTTTATGTTGTACATTGCATTTATTTTTCTGCCCCCACAGGAAAACTGCGCTATGCCAACAACAGCAATTACAAAAATGATGTTATGATCAGAAAAGAGGTATGATCCTTTCCTTGACTACAGCCTAGCCTTTTGTTTTCATGGTTTATGCTCTCTCTAGTGGTAGTAATGAAAAATGAAGAGTGGGGAGATAAATACTTCTTTCTTTTTCTTTTTTCTTTGTTTGTTTTGTCTTTTTGTTTGTTTTTCCAGACAGGGTTTCTCTGTGTAGCCCTTGCTACCCTGGAACTCACTCTGTAAACTGGGCTGGCCTGGAACTCACAAAGATCTGCCTGCCTCTGCCTCCCAAGCTGGGATTGAAGGTGTGCTCCACCATACCCAGTTAAACACTTATTTCTAAACAACTGGGTTATTTCTCGGGTCTGTTATTTGCAGGTTTGTTGTTGTTGTTTTACAGTGCTGAACCAGTAACTAGCAGCGGAAATGTCTGTGTGTTGGTTTGAACCCTCAGTCTGCTCCATACTGACCATGTGACCTCAGACAAGTTCCCTAGCTGAACTCGGTCTCGATTTTTTTCATCTGCAAAATGAGGGATAATAAAATCTACTTTCCATTTCCCAGTGCTATATTTATTTAATTCAATATATTTATAGTGCTTGACATAGTTCCTAGCACTTAGTCTTTGAAGAGAGCATTGCATTTGCTCCTGAAAGGGAAAGTTGTTAAGTGCAGACTGGTGCCTTGTGTGTGTTTAGTTTTGTTTTTTGAGACAGGGTTTCTCTTCGTGGCCCTGGCTGTCCTGGAACTCCCTTTATAGACCAAGCTGGCCTCAAACTCAGATATTTACCTGCCTCTGCCTCCCCTGGAAATAAGGCATGCACATACCACCTGGCATATATGTATCTTCTTTGACCCTGATTATAAACGCCCATGTGACAGAGTATTCTGCCATATTTACATATAGGAAAATGAAAGCCCAGATATTAAATCTGAGGCTTGTTCAAAGTTACTCTTGCTTATAAGAGAGATTAGCCAAAATTCAGGCGTACTCATAGCTCAGTAAAGTTGCATTCTGCTGTGATTTCTACCATACTATTAAGACTTCATCAAAACTACTGTTTCCTTTTAATCACTCTGTCAGACTTGAAAATACAGCAGTCAGTATATCATCATACTATTTAGCAGTTAATTTTATGCCAAGTCAGCATCATATCTTTTTCTATTTAAGAGTAACTAGGATGGAGCTGAGGAAGGAGCTCAGTTGATAGAGTGCTTGCCTTCATGAGACCCTGGGTTTGGTTCTTAGTACCACAGAAACTGGTTATGGTAGTCCATGTATGTAATCTCAGCCCTCGGAAGGTGGAAGCAAGATCAGAAGTTTAAGATCATCCTTGGCTACATGAAGCCCTCTCTTTAAAAAGAAGCAGGATGGGGCTGGGCGGTGGTGGCGCACGCCTTTAATCCCAGCACTCGGGAGGCGGAGCCAGGTGGATCTCTGTGAGTTCGAGGCCAGCCTGGGCTACCAAGTGAGTCCCAGGAAAGGCGCAAAGCTACACAGAGAAACCCTGTCTCGAAAAACGGAAAAAAAAAAAAAAAAAAAAAAAAGAAGCAGGATGTATTAGTCTTCGTCCATCACTGTAACAACTTTTCTGACAGGCTTTTGAAGGATTATTGCCAGGAATGATGATACATGTCTGCAGTTGCAGGACTCTGGAGGTGAAGGCAGGGGGGTTAGAGATTAAAGTTCCAGTTTGAAGCCAGTCTGAGCTAAGTGAGACCCTGTCTCCAAAGCAAAGAAGAGATTAGTTAGCTCATTGTTCTGGAAATTCAAAATCCAGACATCGCTTCAGTAGTAGGAGTATGTGTGTGGCCATGCAATGACTTCTCAGACCAGGGGAGTGAGACAGAAACAGACCCTGGGGTGCCTTGGTTCCTCTGATGACATGCTGCAGTGAACTAAGGGTCTTCCAGTAATCCCTACCTCTTCAAGATCCATACCACTTCCTTAGTACCACCCTGAGGACCAAACCTTTAGTCACATAAAAGGGGTTGGGAAGGACACACTGAAATCATGTCCAAAGTAAAGGTGTATCTCAGTCCAAACATACTGCTATATTAAAATATCTGAGACTGGGTAACGTATAAAGAGTAGATTTACCTCTCAGTGAATTCCAAGACCTTGTCAGGTTTGGTGTGTGGTGAGGACCCAGTCTATTCTAAGATGGTGTCTTAATTGTTCTATCCTCAAAAAAAAAACAACTTCATATGACAAAGGAGTGAAAAGGGGGCCGGGTAATTCCCTTGAATCCTTCTGTCTTTGTGGCCTAATCATGTACTAAAAGTCTCTAGTCTCACAGGGGGCGTTAAGTTTCAACCTAATTTGGAGGGGCACGTTCAAATCACAGCAGAGAAAAGATTCATGGGAACAGGATATGCCAACAAGTAGCGGGGGAGCTGGGCTGTTGTCAGTGGGTACGTTTGATCCCAACCCACCTTTTGTTTTGAGGTTTGAGAAACAGATCTTCAGGAGCAATCATTTTTATCTCCCATTACTTTCTGAGTTAGAATATTGTTGCGGTATGGTGGTTTGAATTAGAGAATGGCCTCTACAGGCTCATGTATTTTAAACTTGATTTTAGGCTTATGTACATAAAAGTGTGATGGAAGAATTAAAGAGAATTATTGATGACAGTGAAATCACCAAAGAAGATGATGCTCTGTGGCCCCCTCCTGACCGAGTAGGCCGGCAGGTGAGTGCTTTATTAATTCCATGTTGGTGCTGGAAATGGAACCCAGGTCCTCTGGAAGAGCAACTAGTGCTCTTAACCACTGAGCCAGCTTTCCAGCCCTGTATTACTGTTTTGATAACTAAAAAATAAAAGATAATCCTACCTTGACTGCTACTACTCTACTCCATACTTCTGGTTTCTCTGTTTCTCCTGTCTTGTATAGCCCCATATTTCTTTTCTTTTTTTTTTTTTTTTTTTTTTTTTTTTTTTTTTTGGTTTTTCAAGACAGGGTTTCTCTGTGTAGCTTTGCGCCTTTCCTGGATCTTGCTCTGTAGCCCAGGCTGGCCTCAAACTCACGGAGATTCACCTGGCTCTGCCTCCTGAGTGCTGGAATTAAAGGTGTGCGCCACCACTGCCCGGCCATATTTCTATCCTAAAGGCAGGGGGGTTCTTTCAAAATGTAAATTATGCTGAACTTGTTGGTACATGCCTCTAATCTCAGCCCTTGGGAAACAGGCTGATGGGTCTCTTTGGCCAGCCAAAGGTACATAGTGAAACCATCTCAAAAACAAAAACTCTTCCTTAAAGGAAAAGATATGTAAATTTGACTTCATTAAACTTAAAACTTACAAAAGATATCTAGATAAAGTTGAAAGGAGCCACAGACTGGATGAAGATACTTGGAAAATATATCTGACAAGGAGTTTCTCTGCAGAATATGTAAAGAACTATAAACCAATAAAAAGATAACCCAGGGGGCAAAATCTTGCGAAGGATATAAATAGACAGTTTATAGACTCAAATAGGAGCCAGTAGACGTGGAAAAGACTTACAGGTGCATTTGCAACCTGTGAAAATTAGGACATCACATTTTTTAAAGCCTCATCAAGGTCTTCAGAATAGAAAGAGTTCATACACTGATGGCAGGAATCAAGTCCACTAGGAAGCCATTTGGATAGGAGCTGGCAGAGCTAAAAATACTTAATTTCGGTGGGACTGGGGACCTAAATCCAGGACTAGCACAGTTGTTTACCAGGGGCTCGGCCCCAAGATCTAGAACATTCTTGCCACATCATTTGTGAGGAACTTAAGTCTGCTTCAGTAAGGAAATGGCATGTTCAACACATTTAAATTGTTGAGTAGCTCAACGTAGATAAATCTTAGAAACAATATTGAATGGAAAATATATATATCCATATCGGGTATGGCCATTTATTTTAAAAGTATGCTGCTAAATCTAAAAAAGCAAGTGGGAGGAATACATGCCAGTTTTAGGGGGATCCCAGAGAATAGAGTGGGAGACAGGTATAACTTGTGTTTTGTTTGTTTGTTTGTTTGTTTGTTTGTTTGTTTTTTTTTTTTTGGTTTTTCGAGACAGGGTTTCTCTGTGTAGCTTTGCGCCTTTCCTGGTACTCGCTTTGGAGACCAGGCTGGCCTCGAACTCATAGAGATCCACCTGGCTCTGCCTCCCGAGTGCTGGGATTAAAGGCGTGCGCCACCACCGCCCGGCTTGTTTGTTTGTTTTTAAAGATGGGGATGGGGAGCAGCAAGGTGGAGCAACGGGTAAAGGCTCTTGCTGCCATACCTGGCAGCTTGAGTTCAATCTCCATAACCCACATGAAGGTGTAAGGAGAGAACTCCCATAAACTGTCTTCTGACCTCCATGAATATGCCCTGAGATTCATGCCTACATGCATACATATCTCTCTCTCTCTCTCTCTCTCTCTCTCTCTCTCTCTCTCTCTCTCTCTCTCTCTCTCTCACACACACACACACACACACACACACACACACACACACAGCAGTGAGTAACTATTATTTTAAAAGAAGAAGAAGAGGGACTGTAGAGGTGGCTTGGTGGATAAAGTGCTTGTCGTGCAAGCATGAGGACCAGCGTTTGGATGAGCCTTTGTCCTGTGTGCTTCCTTAATGATCAGTGCTGTCTTTATTTATTTATTTTAATGTTTCTAGGAGCTTGAAATCGTCATTGGCGATGAACACATTTCTTTTACAACATCAAAAATTGGTTCCCTTATTGATGTCAACCAGTCTAAGTAAGTATCTATGACATTTATATCAGTTATGTCTGGTGTTGGAGATTAAAAAGAAAATGTCAACCAACTGAGGCCAGCATAGAAAGATGTGGTGCAGACACAAGACAGAAGTCATTATGGTCCTCCTCATTCACAGGGGCTCCAGGTTACAGTTGTCTTTCAGTATCATGGAGGGTTAGCTCCAGGAATTTTGGTACCAGAATCTTTGAATGCTCAATTCCTTTATATAAAATAGTGTCCCATTTTCACAGAACCCCTGTGTACTTCCCATATACTTTAAATCCTCTTTATAAAACCAAATTGTGTATAAATAGCTGTTATATCATTTAGGAAATAACAGCAAGAAAAAAAACATCTGAATATCCACTCAATAGTTGGAAACCTCATAAACCTAACTATATCCTCCATTCATGGCTGAACTCACAAATGCAGAGCTTATGGATTCAGGCCAATTGTGTTTTCAAAGGTTGCTTCTTTTACTTGTGGTTCATTCAGTTAGTGCTTCTCAGTGACACCGAGGAATGCATAGTAACATCCAGAAGAGAAAATGAAGTAAGGCCAAACAAATGTTGGTCAGTGAGTGAACAGCTTTCTCAGTGGTGACTGTTCAGTGGTGAAAATCTTGTATCTAAATTTTAAAATTCATGTTGTCGGTGGTGTGAATTATAACACTGGGATGTGAATCTATTTGCTATAAAGAATCTTGGGTGCTGGGGCTGTCTTGTTTGCGGGTACTGGGAATTGAACGTGGTTAGAGCCTGGCATGTTAGGCAAGTGCTTCACCACCGACCTGGATTTCCAGCCTTTTAAAAAAGCACAAGACAGAATCTGTTTTAGAAATCATGATTCTCCCCCTTGGTTTTATGTTTTTCACAGTAAAAACAGCATGCTTTACTCCATTTTAGTAAGTGACTCTTTCCTTCTTAATGGACATGTGCTTCCTCAAGGTTCTACTGCTGTAAATACCTTCATAAGGAACAAACATTTTGTAGTAATCAGGGTTATTAATTTTTTTATTTGCCAACTTTTCTCTGCTTCTTCAACATTTTTGTTTTCTTTGTATTTTAGGGATCCAGAAGGCTTACGAGTATTTTATTATCTTGTCCAGGACCTGAAGTGTTTAGTCTTCAGTCTCATTGGATTACATTTCAAGATTAAACCCATCTAGATTGGATATTGTGGACATGAGGGGGGTGGGAGTTTTTAGTTACCATAATTAGGAGGTTTTTTTCTGTATATTGGGGCAATTTTTATAAACAATAAATGATGGTCTTTAATAAAGTAGTAACATGTATTTTTTGTTATTTTTCTAAACATCTGAATGTGTGAATTATTTCTCATGTAAAATACAAACTTTCAGTGAGTGCCAGGGAGATGGTTCTGACAGTAAAGCTTTAGCTGCATAAACCTGACATGATAACCACCATCCACGTCCCTGGGACCCACGTGGGCCAGCCAGCCTGGACTGAGCACCCAGCAGCAGAAACAGGTACCCTGCCTCAACAAGGTGGAAGGCAAGAACTGACTCAATTTCCACACCTGTGCTGTGGCATGGGCGTGTGCTAGTGCACACACATATACTAAATACGTTTTCTAATACAATGAGAGTTGGGAATCTCATTGGCAATATTCAAAAGAAATTCCAGGACAAGTGACCTGGGTTTGGTTTTAACAAAGAGCCTCCCTTCCCTTTACTGCCCAGATGACTTAGAACTAGGGATCAGTCACCCAAGTGCTAGGATTACAGGCAGGCGCCCATCACACCCAGTTCAATTTGGATTCTTAAATTCCAAGGGAAAAGGAACCTGAATATTTACAAGACAAATCAATTGCTGGAGTTACAGTTCAGTAGGAAAGCACCTGCCTAGCATTTGTGAGGTCTTGGATTTGATCTCCCCCAAGACAGACAAAATAATGCAATATTTGACCCTAATTGCATCATGCTAAAAAACTAATGTTGACACCATAAAGAAATTTGAACATTGGCTGTTGGATTTACATACACTGTGTGTGTAAGACTGGGTTTTGCACATACTAAGCAAGTGTTCCACCACCAAGCCACATTTCACAGCTGAGTAGTGTTAGCTTCTCGGGCATGAAATTGCATTGTGTTGGGCTTCAATTTTTTTTTTTTAAGATGTTTTTATTTATTATGTATACAGTGTCTGTCTGCATATACACCTGTAGGTCAGAAGAGGGCACCAGATCTCATTATGGATGGTTGTGAGCCACCATGTGGTTACTGGGAATTGAACTCATGACTTCTGGAAGAACAGCCAGTGTTCTTAACCTCTGAGCCATCTCTCCAGCCCCAGGCTTCAATTTTTTTTTTTTTACAGATCCAGTATTTCAGTGTGGAGGAAAACTGTTCAGCAGATAGATTTGTAGTCACTTTCTCTTGCTGTTACATAAATTTCATGGCTTTAGGCAAATAGCTGGTTAGATTACACTAGAAGAAATGGGACTTGATAGGTTTCATGTGTCTGAAGGGATGTGATGAGCCTAAATACACATCCTTAGAGACAGTCCAACCTGAGACAAGGTCCCAAGCGTTCTCAGCCTTTTCATGCTTCTCTCTGCCTGCTGCTTCAAGTTAGGGGTATCACTATCTTGACAAGTCAGGATGCCAGACTATTTACTGAGATTCTTTGAGGCCAGTCTGGTCGTGTCAGAAAAAGGCTTTTTTTTTTTTTTTTTTTTTTTTTTTTAATGACACTTGAGCAAGTGAAGAGATGGCTTGGCGGATAACAGTGCTTGTTGCTCTTGCAGAGTACCCCAATCCAGTTTCTAGCGTCCACATGGTGGCTCACAGCCATCTGTCACTAGAGGATCCGGTTCCCTCTTCTGGCCTCGGCGGGAGCTACATGCATGTGGTGCACCCACATACAAGCAGGCAAAACAAACATAAAATTAAAACAAAGACGGGGTTATAAAAGTGTCAAGTGGATGACATGTTTTCGAACATTGATGCCCACGGCTCCTGCAGTGTCGGTAAAGAAATGATAGAATAAGACCGCAGAGAGGAGCCAGCAGTTTTCAGACATAGGGACCACGAGGACGTGGACACAGAGTAGCCCTGCGGGAAAGATCGCAGCGTCAGGTCGGGCAGGTAGATCGAATGAGCAGTGTAGCAGAGGGCCACTACGCCAAATCTGCGAGGATGCAACGAAACCTAAGAAGACTCGGAACCACAGGCGGAAAGAAAACCGAGGGCCCAGAGCGGTCGAGCAGAGGTTTCGAGCCAGAACATCCTGCCTGCTTAGTGATGGCACAAATTGAGAATCAGGAGCTATCTCTGACATTAGCGAGTCCATGGATTCCAACGCGCCCACAAAGAAAAGCGCTACCCGGCAGGTTACGACGAGACAAACTGGAAGCAGCCCACACCGCTCACCAACGCCCCGATTCCCGCCCACCCTCACTGAGGCTGCGCGGGCGGTGCCAGCCTTTTACGACGGGCCGGAAAGCAGCAGTCGCAGCGGCATAACGTGGACCAGGCAGCTATGGGGGTAAGGGGAGGCGATTCGCCACCGGAGCGTCCGGTAGCCGAGTCAGAGGTGGGGTGGAGGCGGCGAGGCCCTGAGAGCCGCGAGCTCATACCAGGAGGGAGTGAAGGGAGTGGGCGCGCGTGGAGGCCCGGGAGGCCGGCCTTGAGCTGGGAGGGGCGGAATGGGCGGGGCACGCGGCTGCGCACGCGCGGCCATGCTTTCAGCCTGGCCCGCCCTCTTCTCAGAAAATCGCGCTGCAGCTCAAAGCCACGCTGGAGAACGTCACCAACCTTCGGCCAGTGGGCGAGGACTTCCGGTGGTACCTGAAGGTGAGGCGGAAGGCGGGTCCCTCCTGGGAAAGGGAGGAGCATCGGGAGGCTGTGGGCGTTCTTAGGGCCCAAGGCCAAGCCACTATCTCAGTACTGAACTGGGAGCGTTTCTGTTCTACTGGGTCCGAGGTAGTTATCCAGGCACATAAGTGGATTTTTCAGGGTGGAATTTTAGATCTTACTTTTATTAATTATTAGTCTCATGTAATCTAGGCTGGCCATGAGCTCTTTATGTAGCGGAGGATAACTTTGAGCTCTAGATCTTCTTGCCTTTCCCTTCCGTGTGCTGGGATTACAGATGTGCGTCCTCCTCACGGTGGAGCTTTGCCTTTTTTTCTCCTCTGCAGTCCTGGGGATGTATCCGAATCTAGGGCCGCAGGCTAGCACTCCCCAAATGTACAATCTCCACAGCTCTTGGTTTGTAAACAGACACTGAACAAAATGTTATTTGAGGGGACCTTGTGACTACTTAATATGGTGAATGAAACTCACCTTGTCTTATTTGCTGGCTTAACTTGTGAAAGTTGACCACCCTTCGTCTTCACACAGTACTAGTAAGCCTGGTACAACCGGGTAGGTGCCCTGTCTGCATGGTCTGTAGAGATCCAAACAGTGTGCGGCTCTTCACTTCCCAGATTCTGCCTTATTCTAGTCTAACTCATCGACGCACATACCCATCCAAAGCCTTGTCTTTCAGGAGGTCATAACTGATCGCTTTTCTTTACATTTAATCCCCTCGGTACTAGACAAGTGCTCTACCATTGCATCCACAGCTCCCATTTCCAAATGTTTTGGAGCACGAGGTCCAGGGCTCATTTGAAAAATGAACTTCTTTGACTTGAAACAGAATAATGAAGGAGACAGAAAAGAGTAACAAAATGATGAAAGCTTGCCCCAGCACTCTTAGGACCCTAAGCACAAAGCTCCTAGCCAGGCGTGGTTGCTTGGGGGCCTGTGACTTGGGTTCCCCAGCCAAATGATACACTTTTTAGGGGAGGGTAGGAATGAAACAACTTGTTCTTGTCTGGAGATAAGTCTGCTCGGGTCCTCATTGGGGCTGGTTGTAGGATGAGGTAGGAATCACCTAGAAGATAGGCTGTATTAGGCATAGTGGCACTCACTCACTTAGAATCCCAGTACTCTGAAAGCAAAGGCAGGGAGATCTCAGGTTCAAAAATAGTTTGGTCTACATAGTGAGAGCCTATCTAAAATAAATAGGTAGAAGGATGTGGTAGGTTATGAGCCTGCTTTACACTATACTTACCCTAACCATGATGTCTTTCCAACTAAGCCAGCTGCTCGACTAATACTCTTTTTCTACCCCAAGTTGAAATGTGGCAACTGTGGTGAGATTCCAGAGAAGTGGCAGTATATCCGGCTGATGGTAATAGTCCCCACCACATACTCTGGGCAGAGGTTTGGGGACACGGGCCTTCATCTCTCTTTCCTTTGAACATCTTTCTTTTCTTTCTCCTTCTCCTCCTTCTCCTCCTCCTCCTCCTCCTCCTCCTCCTCCTTCTCCTCCTCCTCTTCCTCTCTCTCTCTCTCTCTCTCTCTCTCTCTCTCTCTCTCTCTCTCTGTCTCTTTCTTTCTTTTATGGTAGCTTGAGAGAGCAAACACCAGTGTGGTCAGCACTGGGAACAACAGGCCTCTTTGGGATATGAGGCAGAGTTCAAAAGCAAGAGGGACCTTTTTTCTCAATCACAGGAAGACTCCTTAGGGTGCCGCCCCACCCACCCCACCCCAGGTGTGCTGAGGGGTTGAATCCATCCTAAACATGCTCTACCACTGAGCTATCCCCAGCCCTCCTGTAACTTTCAGCAAGTGACTCACTTCTGTGGGTCTTGGTCTCTTCCACTGGATAATAGGGATGAGATCTCTTTGGGATCCTTGCATCTAACTGTTACATAACTAGAGATTATGTTTGTTTCTTGTCAGGACAGTGTGGCACTGAAAGGAGGCCGGGGCAGTGCCTCCATGGTCCAGAAGTGCAAACTGTGTGCCCGGGAAAACTCCATTGGTAGGTCAGGCATGACTCCCTCCAGGTTCTTCCAGGCTCACTGGAAGCAGACTCATGTTGTCCAGGGGTGGACTTGGGCCTGAAGTACTAAAACCTGGGCAGCTCACTCTTTTCCCTGAGTGGAGCGTGGGTCTAGAGTCAAGTCAACTTTTCCTTTTTGTATTTCAGAAATTTTGAGCAGCACCATCAAGTCTTACAATGTAAGTTTCCTGCTGCAGTGACGGGGTGGTCGGATTAAATCTGAACTGGTGGCTGGGAGGAGTGGTTCAAGAGCAGCTGCATCAAAGTGGCCAGCCACAGGACATTGTCCCGTGTCCTTAACTCTTTTTTGTTGTTTGAGTCTAGGTTTCAGGCTTGGCTCAAACCCTCCTACTCCTGTGTCAGCCTCCTGAAAGCTGAGATTACATGCACTCGACACCATGCCCTTTTATTAAGTCTTTAATGCAC